CGGGGCGGGGAAACCCTCTTATGGCATTTTTAAAAGTTCGTACGAATCGTTCCGCTATTTCGTTACTTTGTGGTGATATGGTGGAGTACGAATATGCGTTATTTCAGGTGGTCACAAAATTGGTTAAATTCGTGGCTGACAAATTGGGGTCCATTGTCCGTTATGAGGTTTCGTGGGTATCCTAGGTGAGTATAAATGCATTCCAAAGCGGTTAGGAGGTCAAGGGTGGTTGTGCTATTCAGGCGGGTTATTTCTGGCCATTTGGAAAAAGCATCCACCAGAATTAGCTAAAGCACGTTTTGTAGGGGGCCTGCCAGGTCGACGTGCACCATTTCTCCGACTGAGTGGGCGGTGGGCTATTTATGGAATAGTACTCGGGGAGAGTTTTATTTGAACTGCTGACAATGGTCGCACGTTTCATTGATTGTTTTGATGTCCAGGTTTAAATGGGGCCACCAGACATACATCCTGGCAGTTTCTTTCATTCCTACAATTCCTGGATGTCCCCTGTGAATTTCTTGTAATATCGCGGGACATAAAGATTGCGCAATGATTAATCGGGTTCCACGGACAACTATCTCACCGTCTATCGACAATTCGTTTTTTTATATTCCAAAAATTTTTTAGTTCGTTGTTTGTTACATTTGGGGGCCAGCCGTTGAGAATGTTCTCTTTGATTTGGGTTAATTCAGGGTCTTGCATGGTTTTGGCTTCAATTTCATCTCGGGTAAGGGGTAGAGCTTTAATTTGTGTTTGGATAATTTAGTTTATTTCGTTTTCGTCTTGATGGTCAATTTCGGGGAGCGGTAGTCGGGAAAGTGCATCGGCATTCATATTTGATGATCCCGTTTTGTAGCGGATGTTGAAATTGAACCCTGACAACGTGACTCCTTATCTTACAAAAATAAAGCCTTCAATAAAATATAAACTATATAATATTTTATAAAATAAAATACATAATTCGACTATAAGATTAAGTTAATTTTCGAGGAGATTAAAAATTTGACTTTAGCAAGAATATATTCCTATAAAAATTAATAATTATGAAAAAAATAACAATTATCATGTTCCCTTGGGTCCTTCACTGCCCTTCTATCTCACTTCCAGACCGTAACTACCCTCCATACGACATATTGGCAATTTTCCTCAACCGGCCTCCAACACACATTAAGCCATTTTTCTCAATCGACCCCCAAAACCCTTTGAGCCATTTTTCTCAACCGCCCCCCAAAACACATTGGGCAACTTTTTCATTAGGCCATTTCCTCCAAACAAACAAAAAAACTTCCCTATCACACGCTGGTACTTCTCACCCAACCCCTCAAACATCATGGCCCATTCTCACCGCCACCCTTTACTGTTATGCTTACAAGGACACAACGTGGAAGTATGACCACTGTGGTCACACTCAAAACATTTAATATCCCTACAATCTACTGCGCTGTGCCCTTTTATATCACATTTGAAACACACAGTATTCATATTCCTCTGACCTTCCGTCCTAAACGATTTTGTCAACTCTCCACGACCTCTATATATTCCCATTTTCCATCCTCACTCCATTTTAAATCCTCATTATCGCCCATCCTTGCAACATTTCCTGCACGGACAACCACGTAACCTTTCCATACCTATCCTCATCCACGTTTTGTTCTTCAATCAACAACGTTTGCCCCTGTATTTTAATACTCCTAAAAGTTAATAATTAACTTTACTAACACTATATAACCATTTTTAATCCTCTTAAACTCAACGGTGAACCACTTTACAATTTTTTTCTATCACTGTTAATAAACGTGGTACTCCACCAAATTTCCAAACACAAAAAAATATTCCACGTAACCCCTGTGACTTTAACAACAACCACGGTACTCTAACGAATTTCCAAAAGGAAGTATTCCACAGACCCCTGTGACTTTAACAACAACCACGGTACTTTACTGAATTTAAAAAAAATATATTCCACAGAACCCCTGTGACTTAAAAATATACAATTCAATACTACAGTTAATTCACTGTGCCCTTAACAAACGTTAAGTTTTTCCTTTTTTATTTTTTACCTAAAAAAAATATATAAATAAATAAAAACTTACTTTTTTTTTGATCACGGCACCAACTATTGCTGTTGTGCCATTGAGAATAAATCCGAGACCATCATGAATAATTTAATTTTATTAATTCAAAATAAGAAAACTAACTCCCTTAATCTGCAGAAAACGGCTATTTATAGATGAAAATACGATAAATAAAAAATAATTCTTAAAAATCCGAATAACATGACTCATTATGAGTCATACAATCCAAAAACAAATCAATGCGCTAAGGTTAACAAACCAGATTATTGCGCGTAATAAAAAAAACAATTTTAAAAATTAAAATTTCCGTGATTCACGCGCCCGGGAAAAGTTATGGGAAGGCCTGTCAAGCTTAATAATTTAAAATTCATTCACACTCACTCCGTGACACATTTCACGGCCCGCGTCCACCTCGAATTATAACTAATAGGGAAATATCTTACCCCTATGACATTAGAAAAGACGCACATTTGATGAATTCAAAAAATTACTATTATTTATAACTTCCAAATTTGAGAAATATTCACATTTGTATTACGAATACGAAGATAAATTATCCGAAAACAATCACATGAACGTGCAGGAAAAATGAATGGATTTATTTTTAAATATAAACGCGCTCTCCTTTAATAGAGAAAATAGGCAATTTTATATTTTCCTCACATTCAAACGCGTCATCAGAGAGAATTTAACTACTTGATTGACGAAAAGAATGAAACAGATTATATTTATCTTCATCGGATGAAATTTTGATTAATCAAAATTATATTTATTCATGAATATAGTTTTCAGCCTATCTGCATAACACCGATGCAAAATCTTTATAACCTTATTTAAAATCATCCATAAAATATAATAATTAATATTAAGCTATATTTATAAACTTGAGAGAATAACACATCATAATAGTTGTTAATAATAAATCAATTCAAAAATATTTAATTTAATATCGTCTTAAAAATCTTGTTACATTAAATATAACATATTAACCCTTCAATACTCCGGTGAAAAAAATGACGTTAGTACTCGGGTGTGGTTTAATAGACCCGAATTTCAAATGTATATATCTCCAGTTACATTCATTATTTTTATTTAATATTTGGACATAAGATAGAACTAACCTTAAACTTGATAAAATATTTATTTATTTTATTTCTTAAGCATAGATTAACGAAGATGAGGATAATTATAATTTGTGCCAAAATTTTCTAAAAAAAGCTAACTTTTTTAAATTTTAAATATTAATTAAAAAAAATAACTTATCTATCATATAATCATGGTAATTTATAATATGGATCTTTATTCTTCAATATAAAAAAAAATACACTAATACATTAAAACAAAAAAAAATATAGAACATTGAAATATGTTAAATTTGACATGCAAAACATTTTATATAAAACATTAATGTGTTCTAAACATAAATTTATTTTACATATTTGAAAAAAAATATTTTGTTTTTTTTATTTTGATGGTTAGGTTTAAAAATTCCAGATAAATAAAGATTTCCTAATTATTTAAGTTCAAATTTATATCAAAATCTATATTTATTCCAAAATTCATATTTATACCATCATAATTTAAAAAAATGTATAATATATACTCATATTTACATATTAACAATACACACTACGCTTCAGAAATCCATATAAAAATCCCTCAACAAAAGGACATGTTCCCTTAACAAAAGAACATGTGATCTTCCGTTTTTACATTCATCCTCTAACCAAAAACAAACTAATTCAAAAGATCACTTTTGATTGACATTTCATATATATCATTATATATATATAAATATATAACAAAAATACTACAACCAATGATATATATATATATATCATTGACTACAACACTAATAATGTCTTGAATTGGGTTACATCAACTTCTTTAGTAGAACTTTCATATATGTCATTATAGTTTTAACATATAATTTTAATTTTTTCATTAATATGTTAAATAATCACTTCAATCATTTTTTTTATTATGAACAAGTCAAAACATTTTTAAGGAGTGTCAGCTTCTTTCACTTATTCTTTTACTCCTGGCAGATGAATAACTAAATTTTGTTGATGAGTTCTTATTCTTTGATTAAGAAGATCCTTTTTTCTTTTAGTAAGCTTCTTCAACTAACATTTCTTCTTCATCTAATTCAGATTGTGTATCATGATGACTATCATATATAAAATCTTCATCCTCACTACTAATTATGTTGTCATAATCACCTCAAATAAAATGATATTGCATCTTAAATAATTATATATTTAGTTTCAGAATTTGCAAAAATCATTATTCATCATAAATGATAAAAATAATTTGAGAAATGAGTCAGCTGGTGAAAAATAAAATAACTCCACGAGAGAAAATCTTTACGTTTTTTTTTCATATATCTCATTGAAAATATAAGATATATAAATTTTGTTTTGATAAATTTTATAATATAGTAGTATATATTTATAATTTAAAAAATTTTTTTAAAAAAAAATTTCTTTAAAAATTACAAATTTACTCTGGTGGGGTCTCACAAACTCCAATCAGCAAAATGCTTATATCTTAAAAACTATACAACCAAAATATATGAAATTTGGAATATAGATTCTAAGTTATATTTGATAAAGCTAATGAAGAATCCAGATCATAATATTTAACCGTTTTTATGAAGTATCATTTCTAGCATGCCTGGGGTTTCATATACCCCACCAGAGTATTGAAGGGTTAAATATGATAAGTAGAGAAACTATATCGATCTGAAGGCCTTGCAACCGAGGGAAATTGAGGGATATGAGGTGAAAAGCCTCATATAAATTACCATAAAAGAAAAATTCACGTTTTCGAGAGAAAAATAACATGGGAGCCCTTGCTGAATATCCACCATCCAGGAATATATAATTATGCATGTCATTTTAGCATACATTCGCTAATCTTTGGCATATCAAAAAGTAACTTTATGGGTCAAACAATAGTGCTAAATAACTTTGCTAATTCATATGACCAATATAATAATAAGTTAATCAATTTGAAATATGATGAAATTAAAACTGGGCACAATTTGCACAATATAAAGAGAGTTAACAAATATCTCACAAAATCGGAATATAACAAAACTGATAAGCTCTCTCACAATGAAACTTCAAACCTTAAAGAGATTCAACCATTTATACCAATTTACCATGCATTCTCTTATATAATTGAACAACTTAATCTCACTCAGTATTTTAATTCAGATGAAGCAATATATTCTCAACATTGTATTTTAAAATATTTTTATTATTTGTTATCAAAACATGTAAAACAAATCCATTTGTCATCAGTTAAACAAATCCATTTGTCATCAGTTAAAACGGAGTTTAATCCAGAATTTAATGAAATTCATCAATTGTTATTAAATTCTAATAATAATTTAGACCTAAATTATTTTCCATCAGAAATTAGTTTAACTATTCTCTCAAAACTAAATGCAACAGATTTATGTTTAGCTTCTTGTGTATGGAATTCCTTAGCTAACGATAACTATCTATGGATGAAGTTTTTCTTTACTATTAATTGGAATTATATATTTTTAAAGCTTATGCAAAAATACTTGGAAACATTGTGAGCTATACAAAGGAAATTTGTCTGAAAATGAAGATAACACATCCTATAAACATTTGTATCTATTGTTAGATGAAGTCACATTAACTTTCAATGCAGATTATGATTTGGTAAAAATGTTATTAAGAAATATTATTTATTTCTAAAAAGGGTTTATCATACATGCTAAAATATGAACTTATAAACAATAACCCTAACAATATAGCATGCTTTTTCAATGGCACACATGTGATAGATCGGCATCAATTGGGACTATATTTTAATCAAAGGTTTTTTTAGTTATATTTAAGTTTATCATAGCCAATTTTTTTGCATAATTACATTATTTATTCAAATAACTGGTAATTTATTTAAACTATTATTCATTTAATATAGATCAGAAACTCATTTGTATTTGATTTAAAAGGAAATTGAACATATTCCATTATAAGAATTTCCCATTATTTGATTTTAAAAGGAAATTCAACGTATTCCATTATAAGAATTTCTCATGGACATGAACTGACTAAAATAGAAATTCCTGTAAATTATAAATCCTCCCTGAACACTAATTTAATAAAATAAAAGCAGAATCATGTTAAACTCTTCAAGATGAAAATGTTAAAATTAGTTTTTAAAAATAAAAGATCTTCAAGATTTGTGATCTCTGGAAAAAAAAATGTACTGAAAACTATGCATTAAAATTTTTGATCAAATTTTACAACCATTTTATTTTATAGTCTGAAATATGAATCCTTTCCAAAAACAGTTTTAAAAATAACAATAAAATCATGTTTAAAATAATAAAACATTAACCTGAGTTAGGGCTATGCCAATATTTAAAATTGATAAAGCACTGATTTTTCACGTTTTTAACTTTTTTTAAAAAAACATTTGTTTTTTATTGTTTTGGATTATTTTATGATTGTATTTATAATCATATTTTATTTTATTAATAATTTCATAATAATAAATTAATGAAAGGAACTAAACTACAATTTATTTGCTCTAGGTCCATGACAAATCAATCACGATTCGGCTGACCCCCTTCTATTTTTTTAAAATTTGGTTAGCAAAAAAGGTTAGTGTGATGAATAGCCAAAATTTTAGCTTCATAACATTTATATTTTTGGAGATATTAAGGTTAAAAGTGGCAAAAACGATATATTTTTACCATTATCAATTGTAAACATATTTAATATCAAAATTACGTACAAAGATTATACTTCTAGATAAAAAAATTATTTTGATTTTTCTCTGGCCATTTTATTTGATATATAAAAACTAAAAATGATTTTTTGGAAATAATACGACCTTCAATTTTTATAAAAAATTTAGTAGACATTACTAAACTCTTCCTTTATATTTATAAAAAAAATAGGTCTGGGACTCGGCCAGCTTTATTTTCAAAATCTTGATTAAGATATTATATTAATCTGTTTTATTGGTTTTCCTCATATAAATTAAAGCATTATTCATCTTGTAAGTGAAACGGGAGTTTCAATCAATTAGATAAATTGTCTATCGATAAAAGACATTCAAATTTATAATTTATTATAAAATTATTTGCCCATATAATAAAAATTTAATGAATATTAATAAAATATATTCAACCAAGTTTAGAGTTCTTGAATATATGAATTCTTGTCTATTTCATATATGGCGTCAAAAATAATATCAAATTTTCGCTACTCTATTTTTTAAAATAATTTGATATTTAAAACATTACAGATATTAAAATAATTTGATAAAACATTACAAATATTAAAATATTATTATTATAAAATTATGTAAAAAATAAAAATATTATCATCTTAAAATAACCCAAAACAATAAAAATATTGGATCTGATTTCTAAAGCCGATTTTTTTACTTAATATTGGCATAACTCTACTTGTAAATAAAAATAACAATAAATGACTGTTTCAATCAATAAAATAAATAAATTTTAAAATTGATTAATCATTCTATAACACATACTATATTAATTCATTTTTTAATTAATTTCATGGTTTAAAAACTAATAAATTCTAATTATTCTTAATATCAAAGGTAAATATATTAATTAGCAGGAATTTCCCGATATTTTTTATCGGGAATTTGCAAGCATTCACCCAAAAAATTGTATACTCGTTGGAGGTTTGTGGACATAATGTATGTGTTTGCAGCTACCACCAAGATTTTAAATTAATGATCATTGGATCAAATTTACCCAATTTAACCGAATATGATATTTTGCCCTTTAAAACATACAAATATATTTTACCCTTAATAATTTGTAATCCGCTCCAAATCCTGTTATATGGGCAAATGTCATAATTGTCTAGGGTTAAAACTTATGCGAATATAGGAATAATGTTTCGTTCTAAAGACATCAAATTTATAGCATACAAAGAATGAACAATCACCAAGTCAGAAGATGAATTTATCAATGCCTTTTTTGAAAAAATGGAATCTTCCATTCTTTTATTTCAGCGCAACAATCGTATCAAAACTATCTAAAATTGAACTTAGACGAAGGATATTTAATTTTATGGATTTTTCAGAAAACTATAGCATTATACTTCAGGATGAAGTACATAGTTATCATTGGAATAGGGTTCAATCCACTGTTCACCCTTTTATCATTTATTATAAAGATAATCTTACAGTTGCCTAAATTACGTAATAATATCCGATTTTTTGCCACATAACACAATAGCAGTACTTTATTTCCATTGGTAAATTTTTAATTAATAAACTTTGCATGCCAAATAAATTTTTTTATTATTATTGTTGGATCCGCTGCACAGTATAAAAACCGTAAAAATTTTATGCCATCATGAGATGGATTAATTATAAATACAATATAATATAGCGAATAAAAAGATAATTTTATTTATAAAAATTTTCTTATTAATTTTTAATAACAATTTTTCAAAATTTTTATCTGTTAGACAGGAACGCTTGCCAGTTAATACGGCATTAGCTATATTAAAACGCACAAGGGCAGATAAGGGGATTGCAGTATTATACTTAATAAACAACTCTTATAACGTGGAGAATTATTAAAAACATTTGTTTTGTCCTTTGCTTCAAAAAAATATAAGTTATCCTCCTCCAATCCATTCTTTAATTCGTCGTCAAAAAAAAGGAAACTTCGAAATTATAATTCTTGCATTATAATTTCTAGGGTTATTAATGCATTTTTTCAATAACGTTATAAGTGGGTTCTATGGAAGTTTATCCATGGCCAAGCTTGAATATTAGATGTATAATTGCAGAAAGAACATATTGATCTTCATATATATGTTCAAATCTTTAAAAAAAATAAAATATATTTAATTAATATGATAGTGAAAGGTTTAATACCTTTTATTAATCATATTTAAAACTGCTTCTACCAATGGTATTGACCATCTTTTAGGCCACTAATTTTTTTTAATTTTAAAGTAACTATCGTTATTGTTGGGGTCAAATAACCCAAATGCATTTTTTATTCAAAATTAATTATTATTTTATAAAATAAAATAATTAATATTACAATCAAATGTCGTTTTAAATTGAAACTGATATAATACTTTTTGGCCACATACATTCGGTAAATATTGAATTAATTCCTTCAATATATGATCTTACTGTAAAATATTTATTATATTTGGGCCATGGTAATGTTAATTCATCTGAATTTGAATCAGATGATGAAATAATAATATCCATGTTATGTTATGCTAATCTATTAAATTAAAATATAAAAAATAATTTAAATTAATAAACTAATAATGGCGTACTAAAAAGAATTGAAATGTGATAAAAAGAAAAAACAGTTTATTATAAAATATTTTTCTTAAAAAATTCAGATTAATATTAAATTTTTTAAATAAGTAAGAATAAAAAGTAAAATTGAACGAACGTTAATTCGTACGCGTTCGTCATAAAAAGGGAACGCGTTCACGTTCAAAGTTCGTCAAAAATAAAAGGAACGCCGTTCATCATTTTTTTTTCAAAAAAACGAACTTGGTTCACTACTACATTTTTCTGATACATCACACGGGAAAAGTGTTTGTGTTGGGATTGGTGGCACTGTTAAAACATTAACCGTTAGAGCAAGTTTACAAAGATTTTACTCAGAGAAAATAACATCATATGAATTGTACGAATTCACTAAAGATAATGTTAATAGCATATATTTTGAATATATGACCCAAAAAAAATTATGATAACGAAGATAAAGATTTTCAAAAACTAGATCCATACCAGGAACACAGAAAATTCATACCGTGATTCCGATAGATCTACATCAATTTAGAAGTAAAATGCATTCGAATTCAATAAAAAGCACAAGTGTCGTTAATCGATTAAATTTAGTTGACTAACTAATAGTTATAGTCGAAAAACTCGACTAAATTTTTAGCCACTAAATTAGTCTATTAAGAATAAAATTATTTATTCTTATTATAATTAAATTTGGTGCTAGCCAGGCGCTAAAAATAAAAAAATTCAAAATTAAGATAAACAAAATTATAAGCATACTAAATTAGTCTAACAAATTAATCGACTAATTTAGTTGCTAAAGTTTTTAGTCAATTTCCTCCACTACAAATATTACTAATTAACAACATTAAAAAGTACTATAGAATGTTTATCATATAATGATGAAAGTAGGTTATATAACGTGCGTTTGATTCTAATTGGTGGTTAGTTAGTCTTTGTTTTATGGAAAAATCAAAAGCAGGAAGTAGTGTTGTTAAACGACTCGTTTTGAGCCGATTTAAACGCCTAACTCAATATTTTAGCCAGAAAAATATTGCTTAAGTCTCAAGATTTCGATATATGTCTAAACCTTTGTTCCTTCTATGTGCAAAATCTTCAGGCTTGGGTAATATTTTTCTGGATGAACTGTTGAGTTAGCCGTGGCTCAAAACACGCCGTTTAACAACACTAGCCGGAAGAAATATATTTAAAGTTTTTACACCCATCCGAACATTCTACCTTTTATATTTCCAAGAATCGACGACACTCTTTTCTTGCCAAAATCTCCATCATGAGTGTCATCATCAATTTTTTAAAAGTGAAAACTTTATTAACTGTATTTTATAGAATTTTTTAAACCCGAGCATGGTTCGTGTTTTTTTTCTAAAAATTTAAAGCCTGTACCCACCCCAATTTAAAAAAATTAATCAAGCCTTACTTCCGCAATTTTTTTTTTTATAAAAATTGGGCTTGAATTTTTTTGTAAATTAAAATAAAACACAAATTACAGATCGGATCATTAAAACATTATTTGCGTTTTATGTTTTTTCAATTTCCCGTTGAAATAATTTAACAAAATATTAATGAAAATCATGTAAAATGACATTGAACCAAGCTATGAAATGATTTTAAAATTTTTTCATCCTAAAAATTAAAAAAAAATCACCTGGGCCAAGCTAAATTTTATAATAAATTTGGCTTGAAAATAAGAAAATTCAAATCGGACTGAGCCTAAGACTTCTGTATGTTTCTGGCGAATAAAAATTGATATCGTTACACTCTCTCGTCCCTCCCCCAAAATGAATATTATTTTAAAATAAGTATTTTTTTTATAAATAATTCTATTTTTTCACTAGTGTTAAATCAATAGTAACGATTATTATTTAAGACAAAATGCTTCCAACTGAAAGTTGGGGAAAAACGGGCTTGGGATAATAGAATCCTGGATGAATTTTAAAAACTAGTTTTCCAAAATATATAACTAGTTACTTTGACAACACTAATTTAATTCATATTTTCATAGGTATAATTTAAAGGTATATTTTTCTATATATATCTCTCCCATTGCATTAAATTTCAGAAGAGACATATTTAATTGTTACATGAATCTGCAAAATTACCATGATAAAATTCTCTCTACGGCCCTCAGAAACTTGTTTAAAGCAGTCAAACCTATGATAAAAGTTTTCCATAATCATCATTATGTACCACCTGATAATGCGAACGAAGACATACTGAATAACAATATAAACGACAATTTTTTGAAACTAATAATAGAAACATTCGCTTCCATATATTTGCCACACAATCGCTCCCTCTTGCAAAGATTTAATATTGATACTGGTAAAAAAAATTTTTTTAAGTTTTATTCCTAGGTTGGTTTTGCTATTAATCTTATAAAAGTGATGATAAATATTATTGAATTTACTGGAGAAATGCACTCCTTGAAATCGACTGAACCAGCAGCCGATTTAAAAAGTTTTAAAGTATAGATTAGAAAATGTAAATAATCGGATCTACATGAATAGTGAAGGCCAATGGTTCGTTGTCAATACAGATCTTAATCAAGATCGCAGGCTAGTCCCGTCTTCTGTTCGGGCCTATAAAAATCCATTTTTTAGAAATGATTTTTTTAAATTAAAGAGAAACTTCAGTTTTTTTGGGACCGCAATCAGAACTAGTCTGTGACCTTGGAAATCAGCTCCCGGAATAACCAATCCTGATTAACCTATCCTTATTTACATTTTCCGATACCATTTCCTCTTCATAATACTTTTGTTACAACTGTTTTTGTTTTTAAATTTAAAAATCGAATAATTTATAGTCAAATAATATAAATGTAAAGTTTTTTTTAAAAAAATGCTTGATTTAATTTGCATTCTCGTAAATGAAATATTGATAAAAAATAATTTTATTCAAATTCGGAATAATTTTTTCTTCTTCTAAATGTATTCCCAATTGATTTATACAAAAATTTTCTTTATATTATCAAACAATTCAACAACAGAAGAAATACAAAATAAATGTAATGCCATTTTACTTTTATTTCCATCATATACCGATTTAATTTATTCTTTTTTTTAAATTTTAATTCTCGATTTGCCACATTTTGTTCTCATTAGGCAATGCCTAAAAGGTATGAGTTCGAAAATGATTAGCTTCAGTGTTATAAGATATTTTAAAAAATATCATTAAAACACAGCCTTAAACTTTTATTATAATAAACTTACTTATTTTTTTAATATAAATCAAGACGAAATATTCATGATATGCTTCTCCTTAATAATGCTTTCGGTCGATCTCTACAGCCCTCACGTCAAAAACAAAATGTCTAAGCGAGAATTTATAAAAAACATAAAACATGCGATAGTTAAAAATAGCCAAAATTCGCGAAATTTTAATCAAAATAATACGGTCCTCCTCCATACAAACAGAAATTTTACTGGACAAACGACGAATATAAGTGTTACGAGTGATTTCGAAGGATGGCTAGGAAATTTGTACGACGATATATACATAAACGGCGCATTAATGTTTTAAAAAAGAATCGTAAGAACTTAAAGTTTACGTGGTTATACTAGAACGACCTTAAAAGATTTTCAGTCACAGATTCATATTCAAAAACAGATTTTTGAACAATGACCCAAATGACACAAAAAATATTATGTAAATAAATCATGTATATTGTATAATAATCATTTTATTTCGATGTAATATAATTTATTCGTTATTTTTAAATACATGAAATTTTTTTGTATTGTCAATTTAAAAAAAATTTATTAATATAATTAATTATGATTGTTTAAACCATAAAATGCTACGAATAAATGCATCAAAATCGGATTTTGGCTTGTCTAGCTTATGCCCATCGGGATAAAGGTAAACTCTAAAGAAAAGAGATTTTATATTAATATGAATAATATAAATGTTAAATGGGTAGAAAATCCTTAAATTTTGGGTTAAAAAAGTTTCAAATTTGATAATTTTATCGAGATTATATTTTATGCCTTATCACTACTTCATGATTATAATTTAAAGTTTTAAGGAAAAGGTGGAGTGCTGCTAATAAAACTGAGCAAAATTGTTAATTCCTAAACGGTATTAGTAAAGTCCCAACGATTTTTATTTAAAAAATAGGAAGTCATTTTAAATAGCGGAACGTAAAAAAATAATTATTGCTACTGAATTAGAAGTAACTCATATTTCTGCATTAAGTGAGTATTCGGTACATTTTTTTTCGATTTATAGGGTTGACTAATATGATTACCATAAAAAGATGCAAACAATAATTTTTTTTGGTTTTAAATCTATCGACTGCAATTTAAAGAAAAAAAAGTGTACAGCAAAAGAAAATTTATAAATATATTTTTTTTCTTCTTTAGTGTTAAATATAATTTATTCCATTTTTAAAGAATTGCAAACTTTGCACATATTTATAATCTCGCTCAATTCGGTTAAATGATTTAGAGATCTTATTTTAAAGAGGAAATCATGAAAAATATTTAACGATTCAGGTCGAATTTTATTTACATTTTAAAAAAAATTAACTTAATTTCTTTATTTCTACATTTTTAGCTGACACCACCTGTCAAATCTATCTTATAAAATAATTTTTTTTCTTTTCTAAAAATTTATATAAAAATTTTAGCGATGAGTTGAGCCGGTCCAAATATCGATATTTTTTATATTTTTGAAAAATAAATATATATTTTGCCTTTTCTTCTATAATTCATTAAGGTTTTTTTATTTGCCTAATTGATTCCTTTAAGTTATCATTAGCTTTTTAAATATAGTCAAGCCTATACCTCCCACTTTACCTATTTAGATCCGAGATGCTAAAATATTACCTGGTGTTAATTCCATTGCTTTTCAATTCTCTGTACATTTGAATACCCTGAATATAAGGAACACGTAAGTCTTGTTCTCCCAGCAAGAATAGAATTGGACATTTTATCTAATTATTAATTAAAATGTGTTGTATTTGATTATGTTATTAAATGGTTCTTATTTGAGCCGATTTTTAAAAACGACTAACTCATTATTTTAGACAAAAAATACTGCCTAAGCCTCGAGATTTCGCTAGTAGATGCCCAAACCTTTATGCCATTTATGAGTAAATATTCAGGCTAGCATAAAATTTTTCTAGCCATTTTTTAAAATCGGCTTAAATCTAGCCGTTTAACAACACTATATTTGATTTGTAAGTGAGATAAAAAAATTAATAACTTTATAGTGTTAAATAAAAAAAAATTTTAAAGAAAGATATTTGAAATATGATTTTTAGAGTACTACAAGGAACCAGACCGAACCTATTCACATATAAAAAAGGAATTTAGAGGTCCTATGTAGGGCCCTAATTTATCAGTCAGGTGTGTAGCTCAAGAGAATATTGAAATAGTCGAACAAGATTATTTGTCAAATACCCAAAATGACTAATTTATAATATATTTGTCTAACAAGCTGTGAAAGATATTATGCAAAAAATTGAATGTCTAGTACCTTGTCAACTTGCGATATGGGCGAAAGCTCGTACATTCTTGATAGCGAAAGCAACTTATTTTCAACATTTGGTTTTGCGATATCCATTTGTTCATTAATATTCTCTTGATTAGATACATTGGGTAATTTTATTTGATATTCGTAGCCACTTTCGACATAGCTCCTTGAAAAAAAAGCATATTAGATCTTGAAGGAAGGGGATAGTAAATTCTTAATGACTAAAAATTGGGAATATTTCTTATATATCATCATAAATGTTCAAATACTGATAATAATATCCAGAGTTGAGCACGTTCTTAAAAAACTATCGAGATACAGATTCTTTATATAAAAGTATTTTAGATATACAGGCTTATCCCGATCTTTTCAAAAAAAGATTGAAATCTAGGATCGTATTTTTTAAAAATAAGATCATGATTCTTTTCTTATATTATAAATTTCTAAAGATAATTTATACTCGATACAATTAACTAATATAACAATAAATTAAATATAGTGTAAATTTATTGTAATAGAATAATATAGTATTTCAATTAGCTTTTAATAATAAAAAAATTTCTAGATTATTATTTAAATATTCACGTCTTTCATTAAGAACATGTTCAGTATTACAAAACAAGTGCTCCTAAAGGTTTAAATAAATATTTCTTTAAAATTTACATAAGTATTAAAAATATTAATTGAATCATCATTCGAATAAAAAAAATTGAGAAAACGCATTTAGCCAATAATTTTCCCGAAAGAAAGTATCAATTTAATCCAAGCATCTGCATTTGGTTGATCCTGCAGATTTTCCAAGTGGATTAGCATTTTTTCTTTTACCAACAGATTTTGCGGCAGATTGATATAAAGTCAATTAAGCTTAAATTTTGGGTGAATTATTGCTACTAATATGCTACTGTCCTAATACTGTGGAGGAAATACATATGAAATGATAATTTACATTATCATACGGAACTGAGAAAAAGGTTCTCATTTATATTTGTCACTTCGATAACTGTATGTGTTGTGTATTATCTTGATATATAATAGACATGAGTAAGAACATAAAAATAATTTCTTTTATTTTTAATTCAATATATAAAACTTAAAGGTTTGTAAAACAAATTCGTAATTATTACAGAAAACGAGCTATCACCGTCCATTTAAATCCTTCTTCCTAGTAGGAAGTGATCGTTCGATTTAGAGTGCCATGAAAATCGTCAACGGGATAATCAATTCCTATCTTTGCAGTCAAATGCTAAGTGGCATCACCAGGATTTTTCAATGGGAAAAGGGGGGGGGGGTGTTAAAAATATTTTTGAGCGGCCGGGTCCCTACTATAAAAAATACTTATATATTGTTGCGGTGGTCTATGTATAATCTCCGTTAAAGTTGGCTGAACAACCCTTATTCTAAAATATGGCAATGACTTGTGCTTTATTATGTCTGACTTTAACCAGTATAGTAGCGGGTATAAAGGGAAAAATTATTAACAAAATTTTGGTAAACCTTAAGATTAAAGTAAAGCATTTATTCAGTAATTTTATCATGTTTAGATCATAATTGTAATATTAATTTAATGTTTGGTAGATAGCATAGAGAAAATTGCCAAAATAGATATCGTGCTTAAATGGAAAATATAAAAAACTATATAACCGACGTGCGCTAATATTTAATGCCTGGCTAGTACTTTCAATTCCTCACCAAATATGAGAATCACAATAAGGAATATAAACAAAATGAAAACTATGATGCCAGTCTATAAGCGTGAAGTGAGCCAAGCTTTTGGGAACACTAATTCTGAAACTTCTACTAAATCACTAATTAGGGCTTTATTAGTACATTTTATTGATTTACTCTCTTTGGTAGTTGGTTTAAAGTGGAAAAGAATTATTCATAAAAAATAAAAAAATCTCAATAGTGACTTTATGACAGAACGGAGAATATAGAAGTTCGAACTATCTGGTTTGTGTTAATATAAGTGCCATATTAATTCTTTAATCAGTTTCGCCAACCATTAAAAAAGTAAAACCAAAAACTAGCTAAGATATCACGTTTAAGCTTAAAGTTAGCCAAACATATGGAAGCATTATTTCAAAAATTTATATCAATAATTAGTGCGTATTTTATACTACTTTACTGCTTTAACCCATTTGATAGATGTTTAAAGAAAAACATTTTTGGCAAAATAAAAAAAATGGCCAACGGCATCATATAAGGAGGAAAATTATAAAAGCAACGAACAAAATGTAATGCATGACTTACTAGTTCAATTAGTCTTTCAGCCAATAAAAACCAGTTATAAGTGAAATAAAAATTAAGCCTTAGGCTGATTCCTATTAAATAGTCAAATTATTCTTTTACCTTAAAATAATTTGTTTAAAAGTTTCTACTTTAAAAAATATATTTAACCTTGTATAGTTTTTTTAATACTTTTGTATATTTTGTACATTCAAATTAATCATAAAAAAATGTATACAAAGTCAACGATTAATTATAAAAAAAGGTATAAAAATAAACTTTTTTAAAAAAATAAAACGTTAAATTAAATTTTATTGGTACTCCTTTTCCATCCAAATTAAATATCGAATTTCTAATTATCAAAAGTCAATTTGGTCTGAATATATTAAGGTTTCTCTTTCTCCGATTCAAGATATTTTGAATCTTATGATACCCTTAAATACCACCTCCTCCCATGTCTACGCCACTGAAGCTGCTGTCATAATGTTTACAGAGATAAGCTATTGAAAGGAGAGAGGTTTTCGAATATATATAATATTCGGGAGTTTTATTTTAAGTGAATGATTTAACTTTCCCTAAAAGGAAAATCCCAGGCTTTTAAGGCATGGGATAACGATATAGTGAGATTGTACCATATCGCCATGCTTGCATCGGAGTACCGCTTAATATTCATGAGTTTTATAACGTTAGGTTGATTTTTTTTACAAATTACTCAACCCATATATTATTTTCATAAAACCTATTTCGCAGGTTATTTTTTTTAAATTTACTCCGCCTTACAAATTATAGCTAACCATCAAATATTTTGATAAAAATTTGTATAAATTAGGCAAAAATTTTAAAATTTATTCTGCTAGGTATATCATAAAAAATAACTTTTTTAGCCAATAAAATATTATTTTGTTTAAAATACCATTCTGGAATATCCGATATCGATGCCATAACTGAATATTATGTTTTAATATTTTCAAAAAGTTATATAGATTAGTAATATATTGGCATGTAATTTAATGGATTCTGTTATTTTCTTTTATTAGCTCGTTACTATTAAATAAATAAAATTCAATGATTGTATAAAGAAGAAAAATATAGGGAACAAAGAAGGTGGAATATATAAGGTTGGATCAAATCAAATTTGTAGCGTTATTTTTTGTTTCAAATTAGGATAATTATAAATTTACTATAAATATTATAAATATTAAACCATTTTTTAAATGTTTTGATTTGATATTAAAGAGCTAATAAGGCAGGAAAACACAAAATCAATTTCATTATACATCAAATAAAATAATAGTATAGTTAGAGAAGGTCATATGTCCGTTATGACGTGTCAAGGATGAACGGGTATATTTAAAAAGATCAATGAAAAAGGTATAATATAAAGAATCGGCATCGCTTGTTTAGAAAGAAAGAAAAAGATGGGGGAGGAACATTTATAGCCTTCGCATAATATAATGTTTCAAAGTTAAACACATATTTTAACTTACTTAAAAGGATAAAATAAAAAATAAAGCTTACTCTGATTTTTTTTTTAACCTGGAATATTAACCACGGGATTTCGGCAGGAAATCGATTTGTAAATATTCTAAATAATATAAATAAATATAATAATTTAAAAATCAACTTAAAAAATTTAAAAAAAAAATATTATTTAGACAAAAAAAGTGTATATTTTATGAAATGTGGTTAAGATCTATATTCTTAAGCATTCAAAAAAAGATATTCAGATTTCAGTCCCTTTAGCGATTCAATGTTTCAAACTCCTTTTTTTCAAATTTATGCAAATATTTTGTTTTCGAAAATTTTAAAAATAATATATTCAAATTTTTTATTGATAAGGTTGGAAATATTTTTTAGGGTTAAGTCAATCTTATCACCTCAAGTAATGGTAATTAAGATATTTTTTGCTTGATTTGGGTTTAACTCAGACCTATAAATATATTAAAAAATATCACTACGCTTATAAAAAAAAGTATAATTTCAAAAATTTTGCCACCAAAATCATAGTATTTTTTTACACGATTCAATACAATAAATTCAAATATGCTATCCCGACTATTTCACATAATATATGGCATTTATTATAACATAATTTGAAATTTATTACAAGTAATAAGAAAAAAACATGTGAATTACTTTAAAACTAAGTATTCATAATATTGTTTTATGAAATTTATTATAATCAATAAGAAAAAAGTAATGAATTAGCTTAAACATAAGGATTTATATTATTGTTTATATATTATTACATCATTCATAATTCAAATATCCCAAATACCATAATTGCTAATCACAACAACCTACAACTTACAAGTAATCTATTTAAAAACTCTGACAGCATATTTTTATATATTAAAAATTTAAGAGTACATAATAATTTTTACATATCAAGTCATCAGGCGCGTAAGCAGCGGGGGAAGGCAGGGGGACAAATGCCCCCCCCCAAGCCAAAAAAATGCAGATGCCGGATAAATTTTTCAAAAATATTATTGTTTATATTAAGTTGTATTTTATAATATTTATTCTATTCTCTTTCTTTTTAAGTATATATTTAATTACATTCATTTACTAAGTTATTTTATCAATTAATTTCGATTTCAAGTTTTTCTTGGCGTAATATTTATCTATTATTTTCAAATTTCTAGTCAAATAATAATTATGGACAAAAGAATTTTTTTAAACATATTATGATGAAATCCTAATCATTTTATAGAAAAGCAAAAAAGTACAAATAATTTTATAACATTTTATAATTAGCCTAGAAGTAAGACATAAGCATCTTAAAAAGGTATTAAAGATACCTATGATAAATATTTTATTTAATAATAGATTTTACTCCACCCCTCAAATTTCAATATCCACAAACTTTATGTGCTAATTGAAAGTTAAAATTTTAAAACAGCTATTTTACTAGATGGTTATGGCTAGAATTCTCTATCCGAGACAATGAAGCTTATTGTAAGTCAACAAGTACAAAGATGCCGGAGAAATCTTTGACAATCATCAAAAAACAAATTATTACAAACGCGGTGAACCTATTATTTCTTCAAATTAATTGTGGGGAAATGATTCCCATTTTATCACATATTGACAAAAATATGATTAAAATAACAAAAGAAAATGGATGTAAGATCAAGCTAACTATTGAGGCCATTCATATTGTGGATTGCAGGACCTAGAATTACGTGGCCATTTGGATTCAGGAAGCTTGAATTTCAATAATAATGATAATGAAGGTAATTTTCGTGGTCTTATAAAATTTAAAGCATTAGGAGATTCCTTGTCCGACAAGGAGAAAGACATTGCAAAAAGCTTGTCCAACGAGATGGAGTCTTTGCCATCAAGCAGTAACAGCTTTTATAGAGTTAGAAGAGTCGATTATTAATGCTCTTACTGAAATATCACAATTGCCTGAAGCAAGCAAATCAATGGATTCAATATTTATACTTTTTCTCATTAAAATATATATTATAGAACTATTTTATGTATTTTCAAAAACATAACATTGACTTGATTGAGACGATGAGAATAGCGGAGAGCATTTTATTAGAACTCAGGGAAATTAGGGTTAATGTTGTTGAAGAATTTCATATTTTATATGTTATTTTTGAGTCAAAAGCAGAGCTATACGAGTTTAACATTTGTTCCCTCGACTTGCAGCGAGGCAAGCTCATCGTCCTAACATTAATATAGGGTCAGTAGAAGAGTATTATAAAATAAATGTCTTTATCCCTCTATTAGATACATTTATAACCCAAATAGAACGGGTTTTAATTCATCAGGCAGCACTTAGCAGTCTGCAGATATTACTTCCACAAAAGCCTTTCCAACCTTTTTCAGATAGTAATAGAAAAAAAATAAAATATTTATCAGATTTTTTTCATGAAGATGTTAAAGTTTCTTATGATGCCTTATTAGTTGAATGCCAACTATAGTATAAAAGATTAACTATGGTTTATATAGTCCCAAAAAATGCTATGGATGCTTTGCATCATTTCAAACATCTTTAAGATTATTTTCCCAATGTATTAAAATTATTATATATATATTAGCAACTCTTCACATTAGTATTGCAACTAATGAGAGAACATTCTCTTCTTTAAGAAGAATAAAAACATACCTAAGAAGTACAACTTCTGACAATATATTGAATAGTTTAGCCCTTTTGAATATTCATAGGCATTTGACGCCAAGCACAGATGAGATAATTGAAAAATTAACCCAATCCCAATGAATATTGGATTTTACATTATAAATTTTTAATATGCTTCTTAATAATATTTTTTGTGCGATTTATATTTTAATTATATTTTTTCATTAATACTTTTTAAGTTATTACATACAAAATACAATTATTCCTAAGAAACTTTTGTAATAATTTATATTTCCAACATTTAAATTTTTATACTTTATATATAAATTTTAAAGGCTCAAAAAATTTAAATTTCTATTTAGGGTCATTTATTTTATAGTGATTTTATATGCTGGTTATATTCACTTAATATTTAATAGTTTTTCATATGCCGATTTTTTTAATTCACATTTATTTTATAGTTTTCTATATGCCGGTTTATAAATTTATTTTTTATAATTCACATTAATTTAAAATTCTGTATTAAAAATAGTTATTAGTCCAAAAAAATTTATGCTTGATATTTTTAAATAACAATGATTTTGTTTTAAAAAATTTTAATCCCCCCCCCCCTTCACACCAAATTCCTGCGTACGCGCCTGAAGGTCATATTCCAAAATAGCAAATTTGTTAATTTATTTAAATAAGAGAATAAATATATGGTGCAGGGCAGAGTTGTTAAACGCTATTTTTAAAAGTAGCGCGCTACCGCTATAGCTATTTGTCAAAAAAAGTAGCGCGCTACGGCCTTCGCTATTTGTCAAAAAAATAGCGCGCTATTAGCTACTTTTTATAAAAAAAAATTTAGAAAAAAATGAAACAAATTTTTTTTTTGCTTATAATGTAAATGTATAATAAATAATATATAAAAATCAACATTTATAAATATAAAAATATAGTTAGTTTAGATTATAAAAAAATAAGCAATATAAATAAATATTTATTTTAATTTGTTGCATTTTAATAATATCATTTCAATATTATCATCCCCAAGTCTAGAGCGACGATCAGAAAGTATAAGCTTTGCTTTACTAAATAATCTCTCGACACTAGCACTTGAGGGCAAGGGGGTATTTAATTTTATATATAAATTTTTAATATATGAAAAATTATCAAAAATATTCATTTCAATATTTTTTGATTGAAAAAAAAGATCAATTGGATTTTCTATTAAATCATCTTTAATTTCAAAAAAATTATTTGAGGATGTCTTCGTGGTAGATACTCGGCAATCTATGTTTGTTGGAGTAAGATTATTCAGCTTCGCCATTAGCCTATCGCAACCAAGGACAATGGCTGAACTGTGTCAATAATATAATCAACAATTACTTTATCAGCCAATTTTTTTGAAATATTGGCATATTTATTATCAGTTAATTTGGTTTGGATAGTATTTGTCTTTTTGAATGAAGATTCTCCTATACCAAATTTTTTTTATATGTTTCTCTATTTCCTTATAGCAAGTCTAATAAAATAAATAATATTATAATGTAAAAATAACAATTTGCCTTTAGGTGTTTCTTCAGGTTATAGCTACTCGATTGATTTGATGATATTTTTTTTTACATTTTAAGCACAGGAATTTGAATCCAGTTTTTGTTTTAATATTTATTTTAAAAAATTTTTCAAATCTAGGGAATGGGAAATCGTTATTAGAGCTATTAAGTACATTTTCTTCTATTGAATCTTCCATGTCTGAATCATTTTCAAGGATTTGGTTATCCATGGGCGATGCCATTTTAGATTATTAACACAGATTGAAAATATAAATTAAAAATATATTTAAATTTCAAAATTAAATAATAAATTATAAAAATTATAATTAATTATGATATTATATTTAAATTTTCATGTTTATACTTACATTCATTATATTTTTTAAAAGTAGCGAAGTAGCGCGCTACTTAGCTACTTTTAAAAAAAGTAGCGCGCTAAAAAATTAAATAATTTAAAAAAAAGTAGCGGCTATTAGCTATAGCTACCAAAAAAGATAGCGCGCTTAGTAGCGCGCTACTTTAACAACTCTGGTGCAGGGTTAGTTTGTATTTTAATAAAATAGGTGAAAATTCTTTTTAAAGTGAAAGGAGACCAGCCATTATATTGAAGAATAAGATTGTGGAAAACATGAGTATTATTAATGCTTCTTAGATAAAATGATTTCTCATCAATTTTAAAAACAATTTCTTGGGATGGGTGGGAGGCTTATTTATATGTAATGATCTCTTAATCGTAGAACTAATTGAAGCATATGTTGGCAATGCTTTTGGGTAAAGTTAAATATTTGGTAATTTAATTCTCTAGCATTTGCTTGAGGATTTATTATTATTAAGTCTTTAAGTATTTTTTTAATAACAAGATATTAGTATTCTTTGTTTTCACTTTTGAATATGTTAACTGGAAAACATGGATTTGACAGTTATTTAAAATTTCTCGGACAGAACAATCATTATTTCTGTACGCAAAATAATAATTGTTATCAAATTCTCATTACGGTGAAAATATAAATCTTAAGAATAATACTATTTTTCTTTGAAGATTTAAATTTATATTCTACATAAAAAAAAGTATGATAATTTAAATAAATATTTTAACACCAGCATTAGCTATATAATAGCTAAAATCTGGAATGATAGAGTTGGGATATTATTTTTTTGTTAATAATAAATGGTTAAATAATTTATACTCAAATTTAAAATAGGAAAAACCTTAATGCTTGAATATATTTCATGGCAATAATGTTATTATCCTCCAAAGAGTTTTTTTTTTAGATAAATATTTTGCTGGCCAATAAAATTCTCAATTTCTTATAGGTAAATTTATTTATTCTAGTTGTAGAGTTGTGTGGGGAAATTGTATGAGATATGAAATATCGTTATGATGATATAAACTTAATTTTTTAATAAATATCAATTAATATTATAAATTTAAAACTGGAAATTGAGCAGCTAAATGTAACACAACATATCCTCCGTGTGAACCACCGTAGGCATGGATTCTAGTTGGATCAATCAAGGAATGATATTTTTTTAAGATATGGAAAGTCGCGAACTTAGGATTATATATTTTTTTTAAAATAAGCTAAAATAGCATAAATATAAAAATAGTATTTAATTAATAATAATAAAAAATGGCAAAACTATCTATATAAAAGTATATATTAGAAAGAATTTACAAAGTGTAAATCGATTAATAAACCAAATATAGAAGTGTAAATTGTGATAAAAAACATTAATATAAAATACATAAAGAGGAAAGAAGGGACGATCAGAAATGAAGGAGTCAACTGGTAGATGCAAGAAAAATCCAGCAGAATTACATAAAATAATACTTTTTTTTCTGGTAAAATTAAAAAATTTCTTTAAAATTTTCTAGCATTTTCTTCAGGCAAATCAATAATTTGATATTTTTTAACTCTAAAAATTAATAATCACTCTGCAGATTTACCCAATTAGAGGCCATGCAGGATTTGTATTTTTTTTAAAAAAATCGCGTGTATGGTATTTTAGTCTTGGAATTGTATAAATCAATGTTCATTTTATTTTATTATTTGCTTCGTTAGTAATTGTGTCGTGATAGAAGATTAAATATTTAGTTGTTGATTATTAATAAATATATAGTTTTTATTTTAATTTGTAATTTTTTAAAAATAGCTTTATGTTATAGCAAAAAGAAAAGAAAACTTTTTTTACAAAAAAATTATAGACCAAGCAAAATACAAAAAAAAAATTGTAAGGAAACTAGGATAATGATTTATTTTCACTGTTTTTGTTCAAATAACAATAATAATAGAAAATAAAATTTTTATAGAATTACAAATTAAAACAAAAAATATATATGATAAACAATTAATATTTAATCTTCTATCACGAAACAATTACTAACGATTAATAGATAATAAAAAAATAACACATTTCAGGCGATAAATGGCAATTAAAAACATTTAAATAAAATGAACATTAATAACACAACCCCACGACTAAAATACCACAGGGCCCCCATCAGAAAAACCCGCTTTCCTCCAGTTAAGAATCCGACATAAGTAAACGATCAAATCAGCCTGATTTTTAAAAAACATTGCATTTACGGCTGAGTCTGTAAGTCTTTAGAAATTAATAACCCTTTGCATGAAAAAAAATAATATATTTAACAAAAAACCAAGAAAACTATAAAACTTGAACATCCATAACATCTTTAGTTCCAATATGACCTAACAAACTGAAGATGCCATAGTCTCCATATCCGCTTGAGCCTGTGTAATTGACTTGTGATATAATAAAATATTTAGAATTTTATTTGAAAAATATATTTTCATCGAATTCTTAGCGAACTTATTTGCAATAATATCCATTACTCTCAAATGTTTCTACTTTAACCATCTGAATAAATCTTCCTCTCCCTACTCTCAATCCCGTTCTAAATCGTCAAAACAAAACCCGCTAAAAATAGGGAATATTTTATATCCTATTGTTTTCCACATTTTTGTGATGTTTAAAAAAAATAATTGGCATAAGTATATATTCCTTAGCTCCATTAATATTATTATCAATATTGCTTTACTGATTTTGGATAAGCAAGAAATATTCCAAATTTTTAACTATTTAGAATCTATTATTATTGTTTTAAAGCAAAATTCTCGAATACGGCTTTACAAAGGCTGGTCCTCCATCAGACACCATAATCCTTGAAATCCCAAATTTAGAAAATATTTTCTTGCAATGTCTTATCACTATTCCTGTGGTTAAACCATGCACCTTTTCAAACTGAATCCACTTAGAAAATAAATCTACGCTCAGAATAATCTTTTTTTCCTTTCCATTTAAAGAAATCTACATGAACCTACATTCCTGGCCATATTATCGTGAGGTTTAAAGGCTAGTCCTATTACGTGGAAAGAGATACAAGAATATACGTTGAAAGACAGGGAATTGGCTTTGGTAAAATTATGGTTAACAGGAAGAAACCTTGGAATGATAAAAAGAATAAAATATAGAGGCTGAATTAATAATAATTGAAGATTGTCTCATTAGAGGGAATAGAGCTCTCATACCATGACGATTATAAGAGAAAGGGTTTTAAATATGTTATATGCGGGTCATCAAGGAATAGCTAGAAAAAAAGCAATGTGAAAGGGAATATGTATGGTGGCCAGGAATGAATGAGAAATTAATAATTTGGGAAAAAGTTGTGAGGTTTGCTATGCCTGGTCCAGCATGCCCCGATAGGGAAAAGGTGATATTTTGCCAAATACTAGAGACGGTGGGAAAGGGTACATGTAGATTTGAATGGGAGGTAAAAAAGTTTATTCTGAGCGTAGATTCGTCTTCTAAGTGGATTAAGTTTGAAGATGTGCATGGTTTAACTATAGGAATAGTGATAAGACATTACAAGAAAATATTTTAAAATTTGGGATTCCGAGGATTATGGTGTCTGATGAAGGGTCGGCCTTTGTAAGTGCCGTATTAAAGAATTTTTGCTTTAAAATAAATGTGAGACATATAATGGCTCTACCATATCATCCTAGCTCGAATGGGCAGACTGAACGGATGGTAGCGATTGTAAAAAATTGGTTAAAGAAAAATAAAGAAGGTAAAGCAGAGCGGTGAGTAGCACATTTATATTATAACAGTGCAGAGGGAAATGGGAGGTCTCCGGCAGAAAAAAATGATGAAAAGAAAAATTAATATGTTCTTTGATAAAACAAGTTGCGACGTTTTTGAAAAATGAAAGTAAATCTGAGTTGGGGTAATTAATCAATTACTGTGGATTCGGGTTTATAAAACAGTGTATAGTAAAAGTTTAAAAAAGGGGTTAGAAAATAAAATTTGTGTTTAAAGAAAAGGTAATAAATTATAAGAAATTGGTTAAGCAAGAAAAAGTAAAATAAAGGTAAATTTGGAAAATTGAGGGAAGAAATAATGTAGGGGGATATAGGTTAAAGGGAAAAAGTAAAATAAATAGGAAAATAATGTAAATATGATTTATTGAATTTTTTTATAAAAAAAATAATAATGTTAAGTATTCTTGTGAATTAATTGAAATGAATGCTGTGGGTTATTAAAATTTTTCTAGTCGAATAAAAATTTAAGTAAAAAAAAATTATATTTTTAGCTTTGTGGAAAATCGTATCATTAGTTTAAAATTTTATATAATGGTAAAATAAATTGTGGTCAATGTATATCAAGTCATATAACAACATGTTACAAGTTAATTCAATAAATATGAGGAATCCATTAGCTGATAGGTGGCCCGACAGGGCCAGTGGCTAGACCAGTGCCGAGGAGTTTGTCAATTTGTGGAGTAAATTTATTTTGATTTACAGGGAGTCGAGGGCATAAGGCCGTTGAATGCCCAAGTGATACAAGTATTCCGCAACATTGGTCTTCTAATGGCTATGGTACTCACATTATTTCGCAACATGAGATTTCTAATAGTCATGGTTCCCAAACGTGAATCTCAAGTATTCAAGAAAGATGGCAGTCCGGTGTTCCTCCAAGAATGATTATGACAATTTCAAGGTAAATGGGGGGTGGGAGGGCTCTTGGTAAGGTAAAGAGAAGGGGAAATGGTCGAAGGATTGATACAAGGGTAGTCTCCCGAGAACAATAAATCCACGAGAAGAAGTGCAATCTCTACAACAGGGAAGACAATCACCGGAGCGGGGCAACAATACCGAAGATCGGGAGTGACCCGTTTGACACCCGGTGGGATGACGGGCATGGAAATTCGCAAATAACGGAGGAGATACAAAAATACAGAGCCACATGAGAAAATGTTGTTGAGCAGCTCGGGAGGGTGAGTATTTTTTTGTGTGGTCTCATATTTTAATCCAGTTTGTAGTTTTGTATATATTCGTCACATTAAATTGTAGATTTTATATTAATTGACTCATATTTTAATACAGTTTATAGTTTTTAAATATATTCGCCATGTTAAAATTGTAGTTTTTTTTATATTAATGGAAATTAATCTGTAAAGGGAGTCTCCGGGAATGGGGAAGGTGTTATAGTGAGATATATTCATATAGGTATTTTGAAATTATGTATTAAATTTTTTGGGATTATTTTAAAAAAGAAAGATAAAAAAAAGGGATTGAATCATTTGTTTTTTTTCTCTAGGATTAAAAAAAATAGCTAATAATGATTTCCCCTCTTTTTCCATCTTTCTTTTTTATAAAATAATAAATACATATATAATATAAAATAATCCCAAAATAATCAATGCATCATTTCAAAACACCAATATATATCCCACTATAAACTATATTCAAAATGTGTTCTCATTTGAATCGTATTCCTCTATTCTTTCAATAAATAATTTTATTTATAAAATTTTTTAGTAAACGAAGAAAGCCTCAATTACAGATAAAAAGAATAATATAATTATCTCTATTTCATATAGATCCGCACGAAAAAATGGAAGAAATATAGAGAGCTAAAAAGTAATCTTTTTTACTCAATAAAACGGCGTAATCGAGCATACAGAAGGCAGCCACTTGATACATCCAATTTGTTATAAAGCCTGAATGAGGCCCTCCGTGTGGCATAACGATCAACCCTTTAAGGTTGGAGATGTTCGGCGTTTTGATTTCTATATCACGCGTTTGATCTTTACGCATCAGTAACATGCATTCGAAATGGGTAGGTTTTTCATCTAATTCTTGGGAATAAAATTTATTTAAAAATTATCGAAATTTGTTATGATGAGTCCTCATCCCCTGGATCAATAAGATTCTATTTTCATTAGATATAAATATAGGATCCTATAATAATATAACTTAATTTGTAGTACAGTTCCAAACACTTTTTCTAAATACTTTCCCCTTGTTCTCAAATCTTGAACAGGGTGGTGCGTTGGAAGAATGAATCAATAATATATATATTACTAGATTGGAGATTCATTAATTAAAAGTGTCCATACATAGGAGTCAGCTATAAAATCATTTTGTAATTTACAATTCGACAATTGTCATTATTTAACATTATATGAATGCACATTAATGCAATTTAATCGATATGCAAAACATAAAATGACGCTACAAAAAAAAATGTTACAGGAAAAATTAATGAAAATATTAAGACGAGCAATTAAAATTTAAATCATTTTCATGAAAAAAGATGTCAACTCTTTTTTTTACCTCCATATAATTATATATTATCTGGAAAGTACATAACGGTTCTTTACATGTATCAGAATGGTAGTCTTATACGTGTTTTCCTACCTAATTTCGTATTAACCCAACACTTATATAGATTTATTGCTGAATATTGTTGTCTCCCCTTGTTCTTTTGATGATTTACATATTTAAAGTCCAATTTAATTTTCTACTTGTTATGTGGTTAAGAATGTTTTCTAATGCTATATGAAATAGTAGGATGTAAACAAAATTTCATAACATTTCTTTTTACCTTGTAGTAGATCCCGAAGAATGTAATCTTCGTTGATAAGTTCTTATATAAGCATGTCTTACAATGACAGAAATCCATTCAGATAATATTTTCAAAACAGAGGTGTACTTAAGAACCATATTTCGTATAATCTTATCCATTTATCGAAACTCTAGTATCATATATATAATATCTTTATGGCGAATTAATTGGTTATCTTTCTGACAAAATTTCCCCGCTTAGGTAAATTAATAATGATCTTATGAAATTAAATACGTAAGGTTTTACCTGAATCCATTTGATACCAAAATTAAACTTAAAATGGGTATAAATTGATAAAATAATGCTATCATTGTAAAAAATAGAAATTAACATGGGCGAACATTGTGATGATTGCTGAATATAGCATAGTGGGTGGAATTTATGGATATTTTAAAATAGCAAATTAATTATAGATGTGAGAAATGGGGGGGGGGGGGAGCGTGCAGGTAGACAAATTATTATCTCCTAACAAATATGTCAGTGCAATAAGACATAATTGATTCGTAAACCTCGTTTTAACAAAATTTGGTATTTTAAAATTTAACTATCAACCATTTCCTCCTAAAAAATGAGTAAAATCAAAATATGAAATTTAAAATAAACAAATTTTGAATCACTCTGTCTGTTAAATAAGTCAATATCACGTTCCAGCGCAATTACTTGCCAGTTGATATCTTTAAAAGGGCTTTCAGCATTGTCATTGCTAATCACATCCCGCCATTTTAAAAAATGGCTGCCTGTTGATTCTAATTCTATAATGGCGTATTTCTTTTTATATATTATTTTAAAAAAATTCAGATATAATTATTTTCTTTCTTTCATGCTAGTGTAAATACAAAATAATCAAAATTAGACAACAAACTGAGAGGGGAGGAATAGTTTGAAGCCAAAAATATTATATAAAAAAAATTATAATCATCATCAAATAAATGTTAATAGAATAGATGCTACGGCAAAAATACACGAAAATTTGCATAGTAATGATCACTACCTATCTAAATTAAAATTCTAACTACCTATAAAATCGATAAAGTTATCGAGTGCTTCTCTTTTGATTAATATTTAGATAATAAAATGGTTATTCCAAGTTATCAGAATAAAACGAATTCATTTTAAAAAAAAGATTGATTATAATTTATAAAAAAACATTTAATCATCGCTCACCAAAATGGGTGGAGTATTCGGACTAGAATAAGAAGCTAGTAAGACATTGTCCTTTCGGTCCAGAAAGGTCCAGCTGCCATCCTCTTGGAATTCTACAATATCCACAAAATATTTTAAAAAAATAGTTCAAAACAATATAGTAAAAAATATTATGCAAATAAGTTTAAATATCCTTAATTATTTTAAAAACATAATAAAGAGAGCACTGACATTGAAATTTTGAATGAAAGTGGTGCAGGGATCATTAAAGTAACTTAAAGCTGGTAAGATGTCGAAAATGGAGTGATGGGGGGAGGGGGGTTATCAGGATCTATTAAAGGCGATGGACCTGGATATTGATGAATCACGCCCTTAAATTATGAAGATAATCAAAGAGTTTAAGATGAATGATCAACTTAAAGGGGAATATATTTAGTTTTAATCATCTGATGCTAATGCTTGTAATAAGAAAATTGACAAATTTATAACTCTTTTGGATTTCATTAATAAACTATTTAAAAAATTGGTGTCTAATAAGCGTGACTTTTTCTCTAAAAATTCCTAGACTAAACAAACTTCATACAGGAGCGTTTGATGGAAATGAGACAATATATTTAATAAACAGTAATTAAATTTAGAAAACATCGTATAAAGATAATAAGTTTAGGTTATTCGATTCTGATTTTTGATGGGATAACAATAAAAAGTAACTTCAAAATAACGAATTAATTTCGCCGTTATTTTGTAAAAAAATACAATTAGTTACAGTTATTTTTTCTCAAATAAATTACTTTAACAACCCTAGACTGAAGTAAGATATTGAAAGCCGATCATATATAATAATATAAGAAACCTTTAGTTAATATCTCAATATTGGTATGAATATTTGGATCGTAGAGTGGATTTCCAATTCCATCGAAACATAAATTCTTGCATTTGATCATAATTATAGCTTTCTTGAAACCGCAGGTGGACGAAAGTATCAAAGAAATGGAAGAACCTTTTATAAATTAAATTTTTTTAAAATAAAATATATAAAAAAAAGTTCACAATTAAATCTAATGCCTAAATTTAGTTTTCATTAAAAAAAAATAAAAAGTATAATATTTGAAAGGATAAGTAATAAACTTACAAGGGATAAGGAATCGGTTTAAACAGCCAATCGATAGATAATAAAAGGGTTGACTCAGTCATTTTGTGTATTAGAGACCTACAGAGGGTAAATTTTTATGTCCTGCCCGAATTAAATGATAAATTTAGATTATCTTACGACGTGGTCAATATTTTTAAAAATTTCGTCATTTTAAATAATTTTAGCCATATTTTGTAAATTGTTTTAAAAAGGGAAATTGATAATATTAGCAAATGATGGTAAATAATCAACTATATGATTATTCAATTGGTTATTTGTTACAATTAAAATTTTATTTAAAAAATTCTGCATGGGCTAAGGTTTTGTAAAAAAATTCTATTAATTACGTTCTATTTCAAATCATACCATTTCACTAGCACCAGGCTGGGCTGGATTCTGGGCCTGCAAATCTCCGCTAAATATTTTAGGTCTTGTTGTAGACTATTTTGTATTAAAGCTCGGAGTTGATTTAAAAAAAAAGAAGTAAATTTTCCAGTAAGCCAGGTTTAGCTTAGTTTAGTACACAAAGGTATTATTTAAGGTCCAGAATAATCAAGCAATGAAACGCGAGTAAGAGAATTAAAGGATAAGGAGGAATAGGCAAATTGTAATCTAGACTCTGATTTAAAATTTTAATTGTAAATATTAAAAAAATAAGTAAGTTTCTTCTCTTTATTTTAGGACCTGGTTTCTAATGATTTAGTTTCGTCGTTACAACTTGAGTTTCTAATTACAAGATTTTTGCATAAATTTAAACCTGACTGATGGTAGGGCTAGAAGGATATAGTAATGTGATAAAGATGTTCCACATAAATGAGGGACAGAAAGATGAGAAAGGATAAATAAAGAGTGAGATTATGGTAGATTAAGAGTTATAATAAACCTAAAAATGTATGATTTTAAATAATTAATGGAATGTGTGTCGCGATCTGCATCGGGCTTACTTTTTCAAACCCGGCCCGCGATCCCGAAATTTTTTACAAAAATTTATCGACCCGGCCCGGCCCGAATTTATCTAAATATAGAAATTAATTTTTATAATTACTCAAAATAAAAGACATATGTTATATGTCGTTTATAAATAAAATCAAATATTTTTATTTTACATAAAAAATTCAATATAAAATTGATAAATTTAGATATATTTAAGAAAATTTCCAAGGTCCGACCCGACCCGGCCCGAATTTTTTTTAAAATATTAGGCCTGGCCCGGCCCGAACCCGATTATTCTAAATAAAATTAGGCCCGAGCCCGACCCGAAGCCCGTTCGGGGCGGGTACGGGCCGGGCCTAACTTTGCAGATCTCTAATGTGTAGTAAAGATGAAAATGAAATGGCTAAAGATCAAGCTTGGAAGAATTAAAAAGCTTTACGAATGTCATAAATTATTTATAAACAATTTTTCTTTTGTAATACATTAATAGTTAGCATAATAAAGACATAATTGTTAGTTTGAGATTTTTTAACGTTAACAAAATTTCATACAAGTTTCCTTGTTAAGATAACAGCTAAATCCAGGATTTTTCGCAGGTTCATTCAGGTCGTCGGAGTTGTAAATACCGTTAAAACCTGGAGGCCAATTTTTAGGGTAATGTTTATCCATTTTTGGTGACCAATCGATAATCAAAATTCTGAAAGAATATAATGTATTGATTACCAATTTTAACATTCCACCTATTTAATTAATAAATAATTAAGATTAATCTCATAGATTACCATCACGAACTTGATTAAGAATTTTAATATGTTCTTTGTTTATAGACACATTTTCCTTTTTTAAGGTTCAATTTCAGAAATTGCAAAAAGCTTTAAAGATATGTTAGATTTATATAATAATGATCAATGAGACAAACATGAAACAATTTAACAATGATCATTGTGACAACCAATAGACAACGTCTTATTAAATCGCATTTTTATTTTATATAATATATATTTTTTTTCTGTTATATATAAATCTTAAATAATTTTTTAAAAAGGTTGAAAATTCATAATTATTTATTAAGCCATATTTATAAAAATGCCTTAATATAAAATTTTATTTTTCTTAAAAATTAAACCCAGGGTATTAAGTGGGTAAATACTTAGATTTGGTGTTCCAATCCATAACCCATATCCTACTAGAAGTGTGATGAGGGCCTTCACATACATCCTCGAAATAAATCAGTAGTTTACCATTTTCTGTAAATCCGGGACATCTAAAGGCGCCCTCTCGGTCTAATTCAACTATTTGATTTTTTTAATATATAAATGAATAAGGTGATAAGATATAAAAAAAAATAAGGAAAAAGGAGAAAATTCGTTAGAGCTTTTGTTTGGGATAATTTTATCTAGGATAATTACAATTTAGAAGTTTTATGTTAAAATCATGATCTTCCCACCTTTTTACAAATTTAAAATATTTAATTAAAATTGATAACGAAACAGTTGGTAAAGAATTTAAAAATCATTCAATTAAATTTAGTCCATTATAAAATGGTTACATGTCAATACCGCGAAAATTTTAGCGCGAAATGTATTATCGCGAATGTCGATTACCGCGAAAAGATATTATAGCGAATGCATTATAGCGAATATAATACAGCGAAAATATTATAGCGAATGTATTAGCGCGAATGTAAGACCGCGAAATTGTTATCGCGAATATATTACCGCAAATGCATTATAGCGAATGAATTATCGCGAATACATTATAACGAATGCATTATAGCGAATGCATTATAGCGAATCCATTATAGCGAATGAAATATCGCGAATGCATTATAGCGAATGCATTATAGCGAATGAATTATCGTGAATGAATTATCGCGAATGCATATAGCGAATGCATTATCATATCGCGAATGGAGTTTCATGAAAGTTACAATTTTATATTTATCGACTGACTTAGTTGAATCTGAAAATTAAGTTAAAATGGGGATTGGCTCTAAAAACATTTTTTTATTGAAATTAAGGCTAAGGCTTTTCTTTTTTTTGACTCAATAAATATATAAAAAAGATTCTAAGTAATAAAATAGATTTCTCTTTTTCATCTAATCATTTTAAATATTAAACATCAAGTTTTTTCTTTTTAATTTATTGAAAACTTGTAGGGGAGAACGGGGTTATGGCGAACCCTAAAGGCAAACCTTAAGAAAATTATAAGTATTTTATCATTTTTAATAAAAAATATCTCATTTTGTTCAGCTCTATTAGTTTTATGATATGTTTAAATTTCAAAAATACATCTCTAATAATTTTTTCAAAATATCATTTTTCCTGGAATTTTTTTTGGTAACCGAGTGAACCCTACCCGGGGACGAACAAGCCCTTGGTCGAGGCTATTATAAACTCTGCTTAATTTTTCATATATAAAAGTTATATATTTTTTTATTAGGATATATTTAATGATTTAAAACATAAAAGTGTTATATAAAATCATTTAAAACATTCACAATCTTTGCAAATAAAAAAACAATAAAATTGCAAAGCCATGTAACTAATAACTGACATTGAAAGCAGTCTTGATTGTTATGCTTGATATAATTTATTTGTATACCAAACAATTATTTATCATATAATAAATAACATTTTTCGATTTTTTTTTCTTTTAGTTGGTCTCTCCTTGGCTTTTTTTGCATGTCAAATTTTTAAAAAATAGCAAAAAAAAAGGTTCGACCTAACCCCATAAAAATAGCCCCAGTAGCACCACTTTGATTAAGATCATATTTTGAAGTATTTATATTATCAATTTTGTTCGGGTAAATTGTTATTCTATAAAATAGGATGTTTTCATTTATATAAGATAATTTTTGTGTGGTGAAATTGTATATTAATCTTTATTTTTGAAAAATAGTAAAAGTGTAAAAAGTTACTTTTGAAGGTACGAATGATATAAAGCATTTAAAAATTCTTCAAGCGGTCCGATAGAAATAAAAATTATAGCCGCATATGCAATATATAAGTATATAGTTTTGGTAAAAAATTATCTCTTAGAGTTTAGTACTCTAGAAAATAAAGCCACTCTCACTATAACCCTGGGTTCATTATAACACCGGTCTCCCCTAATTATGGGCATCAGAAATTTTTTAGCTTTAGCTGATAACATAAAATAATATCACAAAGTTCTTTCCAAAAGTGTCTTACTTTGTGGAATAAACAAAAAATGTCTACCAATATGGCAGGTAACATCAAGAAATTGGGTATGTATCTGATAAATTCTAGTGGAATTCGTATTACGAATCTATGGTTTTGCTTGATAAAATCTTAGTTGAAAAACAAAAGGAGCTTGATGAGCTATATGATAACCATGGGGTTAGCTTGGTGAACTGGATTAATATTCCACTTTTTCCTAGAGAATTCAGGAATTAAACTTGATTCCAATTTTTCTTCTCATGTCAAAATTTTATCATTATCAGATCTTTGATAAAATACATAATTTAGAAAATTATCGTATGTTTATATTGTTAGTGGTATTTAATAATGAGATTTAATAATGCCAAAATATTTTATGTTATAGTTTATGAATTTGAAGAAATCTTTAAAAATATATATATCCGACTACATTTTTTTATCTTAATTTTCTAAAAGCCACTTTATAAAATTTAAAATATTTTGTTTTTATGTTATAGTTTATGAAATAAAGGAAATCTTTAAAAATATATATGTACGACTACATTTTTTTTATCTTAATTAAATTATAGTTATAATTTAATTCGAAATTTGCATAATAAAGCATAAATTTTATTTTAAAGATGCTTATTTATAATTTTAATTAAAAAATTTAAGTTAGAAATATATTTGACGCCGCCGCTGATTTTTGTGGCGGCGTCTAAATCGATTCGCTGCCACCAGCTGATAGTTTTAAAAAAGAAACATCGCCACCAATAAGGCTGTCGGCGCTCAGGTCTACCTATAACAGTCTCATTTTAAGCAGAGTGCCAATTTATAATATTCATTTACATTCGGCAAATTTAATTTAAGAAATTGAGAAATAAGCATCATATATTGTTCACCTGAACGAGCACCAGGCCATGTAATATACCTAAAACCCTCTTTGTTATATATATATCATGTTTACATGACGTTATTTGGAAAGCATTCATAGAGAGCCTGTATCTGCGAAATCCTTGTCCCCTAAAATCACCTGCACGCAATTTTTGCCAGAATATTTCACATATTTTTAAGACAAAAATAAGTCCCTCATTTGACTAGCCATAAAGATACAATTTAATTTTCAAACTTAAAAGGTATCAATAAAAACATATTTGCCATAATTAATTATGGCTTTCGAAAGAGAATATAAAGAAATAATGAATAATGAAAGAGTTTCATTATTTCTCTATAAAATCTACTGAATACAAATATCAGAAAAAAAATATTTAAGGAGTTTTACCTAGATCAATATACCTGTCCTTTCAATTGATATGTTTACAGATATTGACTTAAACCATTTAAGTATTGATTATAAAACATCAATGAAAAAGTGTTCCTGTCGGTACATTCCTGCAATGCTTTTACCATGCTGTATCATATTAGTATCAAGATCTGCGTATAATTTAGATAAATATTTCTCTTAACTATGCAGTGCAAGATGGAATGAGCTTATTCTTTATCCAATAGTTTTGAACCACCGCAAATGTCTAAAACAGATATTGAAATCATAGATTTTGCCCCACCTCATATATGACGGACTCACATCGTCTATGAATTATGTATCACATCATCTATCTCAGGATTATTTTGATAACATACTTAATCAAGTTAAAAAATGAGTGAATATCACGCAGCTGGAAAATTATTAGTTGTTACACCCTTAAATGAAACCATAGAGATCCTTTCGTTCATGGGTAGCAAATGTAAGTTAGTATTTTTATAAAATTATTTCTCTTCAAGCCTTATATTAATAGACGATATTCTGTTGCTTCCAGCAAATGACATGCAAAGTCTAAATAATGATGAAATCGATATTCAGATAATTAGTCCTTACGTATCAAATGAAGCTTATTCATAGATTGAGGATGAAATAAATAGATTGATAAATAGCTTTGCAAAGATTGCCAGAACTGGAAAACAATTCTATTTTATATGATATTTGTTTAAACAGGCAATTTTCATTGACAAATATTAATTAACAAACCGCGCAAAAAATTGTAGTTCTTTAATACATGCCTTGATTTAAAATATGAATATCGCGTTTTAATATACGTTTTTATATCGACATTTATCATATTTATATTCCATTAGATTGTTTTTTATAAAATTAAAAAAATTGCCAAATGTATTTTTAATTCAAAAGTTTATGATTAAATTAAAAAAAACCTCAATTATTTGATCGTGTATTATAGTATTTAATCCTTCAATACTCCTGTGAAAAAAAAGACAAATTCTCTAGTGTGGTTTAATATACCACAATTATAATAAAATATATTTCATTCAATATTTTGCTTTTTTATTTTAATCTAAGATAGATTTAATCTTACATTCTTTACATACTAAATGCTTAAACTATCTAAAATTTGAAAATTGTAAATCAAGATATATTTAATGAATAATATTAACCGCTTTTATGTATCCATTCTAACATGCCTGGGGTAATAATGAAAATACTGAAGGGTTAGGTTTAATATATTGGATATAGTTTTAATAGTTTATAATAGCTCAAAATTATTTTATTAGTACATCTATCTAAAAAACGTGAAAACCTATCTTTGATATATTTGGAAAAAACCACTTAAATTTCACTTGGTAAATTATATCAATTGTCAATTTAAATAATTATTTCTGATTACATACATATTTGTATAGTTCTAAAAATAATTTATCAAGGAATAAATATCATTTTTTTTATAAATGCTATATACCCACTAGGAGGGGGTGGGGGATAATATCATCAAGGGGGAAAATATACTTTTTCCATTATAATGCTATTTACCCCCAGTAGATATTGTGGTGATTTAATAAAATAAAAAAATATATGCATCCTTTAATGTCTAAATGTATCTTTTACTGTTCCGTAAATAACAATTATCTATATATTTAGGCCTTCTTTTTCTTGCCCTCTTATATATCATTCTTACCTACCTAAATAATTTGTTTCAAATATGTTACAGCCAAGATTTCAATCAGTGTGTATATAATTTACTCAATTCGGTATAGTTAGATCTCGTCATTAAGTCAGTATAAATAATCCTATATATTTAATTTATTTTTCAGCTTCAAACTATAAAAAAAATTAATAACCTTTTTTATTATATTTTTATAAGAATGAGTGAGAGTAGGGATGTAAAAAAAACGAAAAAACACATCAAATGTAAAAAAATGGAAAAACATTTTAAATGTAAAAAACAGAAGAAAAACCAAATAAAAAATATAATTAATTTTATTATAAAAATTTTTTTAAACATAATATAACAAAATAAGGTCAAAAAAAAGAGAGAAAAAAGTAAAATATCATTAATACAAAAATGATTTACCAAAGGTTGTTAATTCCTCGTTTGATGGATCAAATGTGACATTGCATAAAATATTTTTCCTAGTGGTTATAAATATAATTCCTCTTTTGAAGGGCAATTTATCATAGCCAATAAAAACTATCGTTTCTAACTTTTGACCATCTATATTAGGGCGCCAACATGCCTAACACAAGTTGATATAAAAAATTTAGAAAATGTAGGCGATTTGTAAATAAAAATTAAATATAAATGAAAAACAGAAATATTATTTCTCATATGATAAATAAGGATATGTTTTCAATCGTTTAAAAAGATGATAAAAGCAAATTAAAAAATGGGATATGCTCAATCATATTCAGATTATAACGATTATGATGCATGATGAAATCAGATCTGCGCTAATTCTCATTTGAAAATGATAATTGCTGTTAATCCAATTCATAAAGGTGATGTAGAAAAAAGTATGCATGAGTGGAATTTTTAACCCCTAGTTGTAAAATCGTGTATATCAAGATGTAGAAATGGTAACCAAAGAATTTTCAACATAATATATTTTTACGATATTTACAAAACAAAAATAGATAAATAGGGGAGGCCTGGGTAAAGGATTCATGGAGTATCAATGTCAACGCAAAAAAACTTTTTAGCCCTTGAGCATAAAGACCTTATTCGGTTTGAAAAGAAAACGTATTTCTTAGGAAATTTCTTGCCTATGTTCATCTTTTGGAGAATGTTCCTGGTTTGATATATTTTGCCCAAAAACCCCCTTTTTTACAAATAAATTATAATTACCTTCTAGTATTTTGTTTTTAAAATACATTTATCGTAATTGAAAATTTTGTGCATGTTGCTTAAAATCTAACAGCGATGAAAATAGTTAAAATTTTTGGTCTTATTATAGTTGTAGAAAATAAATTTTTAAAACAGTAAACATCTACTATCATATAAAAACAAGTTTTTTAACAAAAGCGAACATTAATAAATAGTTTCGGTGTTATACTGAATAGAAACTCTAAAAATAGTGGCAAGATGAAGAACAATTGAGATGTACGATGTGCTATTAAATTTCGTTATTGCATAGTTTACATTAAAAAAAATATAAATATCAAAATTGTGAATATTTTGTTAAATAAAACAATGAAGTTGTGTTCAAATTTATTTTACATAATTTACCCTTGTGCTTAGCCATCTTACCCCGAGTACAAAATAAAATTGCGAAAATATTACATTTCACATAAATAGCTATAACTCTTAAAATGTAGAAAATTATTATTTTGTAAGTGAAGGATTTGATCTATAATTTATTGTTTCGCTTTCATTGCAAATTTCTATAGTAAAAATGCAAATAACGAATTACTTACCCAGGCTCTCCTATTTTCGTAATAATAGTAATTAAGAATTAACAATTTATATATAAAACAAAATGAGTCTAGAAACGTAAAGAAAAAAGACGGCATTATGGAAATTAGATAGGTATTGGGAAAAATCAAAAATCATCATGCATCTTTAATAAATATATATTTAATCTATTAATGTCAATATTAATCTTGGAATTGTTAAGTAAAATCTATAAATATATTTTAAACCTAAAGCGGAATATATATTTCAAAATCTTAAACAAAAATTATAATATCTAACTGAGGCAGGGGCCAAGTGTTGCGGTATTTTAATTTGAAATGAATTTCTTTTAATTTCCTCGATATCCATGTTACAACTTGTAAGATTTATATTCAACACATTTAATGTTGGGTCAATTACATCATTTAAGCATTCTCCATAACCTTCTTTGTATAAATATTCTTCATTAAAAACATCCTTTTCTTTAATAATCTAAAACAAATACTTATATAAGATCTGCAAAACTGGGCTGTAGTAAAGCCCTTCCCACAAAATTTAAAAAAATGATAACGGGCCAGGCAAAAAAATTATAAAGCTGGGAAATTATTACATAAGAAATCACATAGGGGAATAAATCTTTAATTTTTCATAAAATTAATAGGCAAGCCATAATAAGTATTTTTTGAATTTCAAACTAATATTTTGATTTATACCCTTTGAAAATAAATTACAATATGGTCATTTCTTTGTATTTTAAGCAGGGCTATAAACACTCGGTCAAAAAAAGGGTTCAGTAAAAAATCAGTGAAGGAAGTTTAGAGTTCTTAATCCAGAAAAATAAGATAAAATCAATATATCTGGCAAAATAGCATAATTTATAGAATAAATAAAAAACATCTTGAACTCTAAATTTGAAAAAGGAATTCAGTTAAAACTTGCTAGTTCAAAGGGTTTTGAAATCTAGTTAATATTTTAAATTTAACAAAGAATTAAACAAGTTATTTATGATATAATCCCCAATTACACAATAGGGATAACAAACATAATTAATAAGGTTAATTGACTAATTAAATTTTTAAAACTTAAAACAGCCAATATTACTTTCGTCAGTGCACAGGTCCAGATATAGAGGTAAGTTAAGCAAACGATCTAGGGTTCAATTAACAAAACCTATGCTGATATTTAGAGTCTTAACCTTTCAATACTCTGGTTGGGTATATGAAACTTCAAGCATGCTAGATTGCATAAAAAAGGTTAATTATCATGATATGGATTCTTCAGTAAGTTTATCAAATATAACTTAGAATCTATATTCCAAATTTCATATATTTTGGTTGAGTAGTTTTTGAGATATAAGTATTTTGTGACTGATTAGGGTTTGTGAAACCCAGCAAGATATACTAATATAGTATATATCTTATATTTTGAATGAGATATATCAAAAAGAAAACAAACATATTTTCTAGTGTAGTTATTTTATTTTTATTTTTATTAGCTGACATATTGTTAAAATTATTTTTATCATTTACTATGATTTTTGCAGATTCTGAAAGTAAATATAAAAATATTTAAACAAGAATATTAAGCCTAAGAGGAAGGTGTAGTGTGTCTTAGAAAAAAGGATAGCAAAAAAAAATATTATTGCCAAATATATAAAAAAAAATTCTGCTTGGCACAATGTTTTGTGTAATAAATGTTTTGCATGTCAAATTAAACATATTTCAATGTACTATATTTTTTTTATATTTGAATATATTAGTGTAAATTTTTTTATATTGAAGAATAAAGATCCATATCATGAATTATCATGATTATTTGATAGATAAATTATTTTTTTGATTTAATATTAGAAATTAAATTTTGTCAATCCTCATCATCTTTAATCTAAGCTTAAGAAATTAAAATAAATAAATATTTTATAAAGCAGAGACCTGCAGACCCAACCCTAAGCATTTAAATTTTTTTAAATATACCCAAGGCAGGGCCAGGTCTAAAAATTTTAAATTTTTTTTAAAAAAATATCCACAGCCATATATTTTAAAACCAAATATTTGAAATTGCTATCATTAGCTATAAAAACTAAAAAAATATATAATATATTTTAAAAAAATCTGGACTGGGCCACACCGTGAAATGGTACCTCTACAGGTCTCTGGTTAGTTCTATTTTATATCCAAATATTAAATCAAAATAATGAATATAACTGGATATATATACATTGAAATTAGGGTCTATTAAACCCCTTTTGAGTACTAACATCATTCTTTCACCAGGGTATTGAAGGATTAATTGATCTTCAAACCAGACACCAGCAGAATGAAATAAAAATGTGATGGCAGTAAAAATTTTACCAAAATACTTAACAGGACAGGACAGACTTTTTGTAAAATTCTAAGGGGTCAGGCCAGAACTTACTCATCGTAAAATTTAAGAGGCCAGTCAAATGTTAAAAAATATAGGTAAGGCAGAAATTTTAAAGGCTGGACTGGGCAACTTGTGCAAAAATTCCTAATGGAACAAAATGGCTTGGATTTTGCAGATTTCTATTATAAATACAAATATTTTTACAATATTAATAAATATTTACAAATAGTTTAAATTCATTTATATATAAATTTTTACAAATAGTTTAAATTCATTTATATTACACCTGATTTTCAATATCAACTAAGGGCTTATATGGAACAATTTTTTTTTCTGAAATGTATAAAATTCTATTTTCTTCAGAATTCCATTTCAAACAACCAAAAATATCTATATAAAGCAATTTTTTTTGTTATAATCTATAATCAACTTTTAGTATGAATTAAAGCATCATTATACAACTTCATATCATAGCTTGTAAATTTTTTATATTCATTCCATATCTTAATGTACATTAAAATTTAATATTTACAAATAGTCACATTTATTATGTAGGTTTGGACATCATTAATGCTTGATTTGTGAACATTTGCATAATATTTACCAGATGGCGAAAACGAGAAAATTAATCTATCATGTATTATAAATTAAGCAATAACATAAATTAACTCATTTGTTATATCTGTGGGGTGAGAGTGTTCAAAAGTCTGCTTGCTAATATTTAACTTTGCTGTTATACAATATTTCGTTTTTTCCATTATAACAATATCCGTTTGAGACCATATTGAAAATATTTCAATTGGATTAATGTTTAATATATAAGCCTTATCTATAAAAGGTTGATTAATACAATTTTTGTAAAAATATTTTATCCTTTCAATAATTTCCATATATTTATATGTTACAGAAATATTTAAATTGGCGTTTATATTGACAGCTCTTGAATACTTATTTCCCATAAATCATAAAGTACAGTAAATTTTGGAAGGAGATCCAGGAGAAATTTTAAAAGATAAATTTTCTTGGCATTGACTTTTAAATCATAGACTTAAGTATCAACATTAAATGCTGTCAAATCTTACTTTAAAAATTACAAGCCATGTGGCACGTGACACACAAGTTATGCTATATTTTCAAAATTCTAATTTTGTAAATCTATCTTATTATCATCGACCCATGATTCATTTTATTTATTAGATATCATTAATGAAATATGTTATTGCTAAAATATCGGCATTATTATTAAAATATATTTAGAATACAAGATTGAATGTCCTAAATTGGGTTAATTAAAATCTTTAATAAACGAAATATAAGTAATTTTTTTAGCAATTACAATTAATATAAGTTAAAAAAGGCCTTAGTAAAATGTTTAAATTGAAAATAACAAAAATATAACTTGTTAGTACTTAGTACATAAGAAATTAACTATGTCCCCTTGAATCCTACAATAGATAGTTGTTTTGTGGCAAAATCTTTTATTTTATTAAATAAATTTGGATTAAATAGTTTATTTTCTAAATATTGTTCAAAAGCCATATTATTTTTTGATATTTTATGTGTTTCTAAAAATTTGCCTAACATTATATTTTGATAAATCACCTTTATATTTTTTTAATCTTTGCCTTTTAAACAATAACCTTAAGATGCTTAACACATTAATAATGACTCTTCATGATAGCAAGTCATGATTTCAGCCAAAAATATTATTTAAGCATCATGATTCTGCCAATAGATATCCAAACTTTTCTGCTATCTGAGCAAAATATCTATGTTGGGTAATATTTTTGGCTAAAATTGAAGTAGTCATTTTTAAAAATTGGCTAAATCAAGTTAATTAATTACACTAGTCATGACCAGGGTTGCCAGGTCAAAATTTTTAAATTGCTGGATAAATTTTTCAAATTGTGCCAAAGAAATTGTTGGCCAAAAGGCTTGTTTTACTCCCTTTTATTCTTAATTACTTTATTATACCAAAATCAGCACAATATTATTTTTTATAAAGCTAACACATCAAGCATTTTATTTCAAAAGATAGATATATAGAAAATTAAATTCATTTGATTTTTTAAAAGAAATTATTTTGCAGGACCAAATTTTATAAAAAGATATTTTCTAAATTTGTTTAAATAACATTAAAAACAGCAATATAGGGGAAATGTCTTGTCTTTATAAAAACTTTTTATAAATTGGCAATTGAACTTTGAAAATCTCTATTTAAAGATTGTAATAATATTGATAAAATTTACTTGAATTTAAAATAATACAAAGCAATTTTGTTTTACTCCTAAAACCAAAGAAAAAATGTTCTAATGTATGGTTAAAACATTATCAATAAAAAAAATTAAACAGATACTTTTATAAACATTTTTTATCATTTAATTAAATTATAAAAAATTTTAATGTTGGGGAGTTTTTAAAATTATGGGAGATTTACGGTAGAGTTCTATACATGCTGATAAAAAATAAGGTTAGTCTCCCACCAATAAGTGAGACCTGGCAACCCTACTCCTGCCCCTATTAAGAAATCCTGTAAAACTACAAATAGATATCATTTTAGTTTAAAATCAATAAATGTTAAATAGTACATGTTCAATTTACTATGAATTTGTAAGAATGCTTAGAACTCTTATAAACAATATACATGCATATTTTATTTTTCAATTACAATTTATATTTAATTTAAAGATGCATATCATAGCATGTTATGAAACCATAGCAATTTTAATACAATGGACAAATGGGAACTACTAACAGAAATTTTGCAAAAACAATATTTGTGCTCTGATTGTGGTCAAGACAAAAACTTAGATTATTGGCTTGTTATAAATAAAGGAGTATTAGTTTGTGACCAATGTGCCTTGATCCATGCATCCTTAGGTAGACATGTGTCAGTTATTAAATGTCTTACATACCCACCTCCAATACAATCATTATCTAATATTCAAAATGTTTCAAACAAAAATGGACAAGATTGTCAACACTATCACATTTCAAAGGATGTTATTGAAGACAGATTTTATTGGAGCATTCAGGAACTAAAACTACTTAAGTACTTTTTAGAGCATACTGGGGCTATTAATAGTCTATGGGAAGGAAAAAAACAAGAAAATCATTTCAAAACCTTGCCAAATTTATTATCACAAAACCAAGATGTGTTATCTATCCATTCTGACTGTGATAATCCCTATACTAACCCTAATTTTTATTACCCTGACAGTGATCATGAAACAATCACATTAGATCAGGGAGAAATTATATGTGATAATCAAGATAGAATCTTTGAATATCATGACAAAGCTGTACAAATAAATATTGGCAGCTGTGCTAGTTTAGCTAATGGGTTCATCACAAATGAAATAACAAATACTACAGATAGTTGTTATAGTGCCGATAATATCAACTCAGATAATGTGCAAGAAATAGATCTCAATTCTCCTTTCAAAATTTTCAAAGTTAACCCATTATTCATGGCTCCTCACAATAAAACAAATGAATTGACCCATAAAATTGGTGGATATACAATAAGCAACACCAGCAAAAGGGCTTATCAAATACCTAAACCCACTCCAAGTGATCCTATTATGCCTATCAAATCAGATTACATACGCTCAAAGTATCAACTTATGACCTATTTTGATGACCAGCTCAAACCTGATACCCTTACCTTAAATGGCAACCCTAAAGAAGTTTTCGATTTTTTAAATGCAAGCCTGCTTAAGACTGTCAGCACAGCATGCTTAGAGGACACTATAGCGCTTTTGGTTTTGGGAGCAGATCCTAACACTATATATGAATTTAATGAAGAAAAACGAAATTTTACATGCCCATTAATAGAAGCTATAAAAGCAAATCAACAACTTCAATGTTATATACTCATCTTTTATGGTGCCCATTCTGATCCCATATTTGATCACGATTTTAATAATAATGAAATCAATGGAATTTTGGTTGATAAATTAAAGGCCGAAATAATAAAGGAAATAAATTTTCACTTAACTGATACCCTTTACCAATACCGTGCTTTACCATCGTTTAGTAGCATCCCTCAAAATATTTCACCCAGTCATGATACAAATAATTTCAAAGATGTTATGAATCACGACGAGCACACCAAAGACGCCTTTTGTATTAACGTTAAATTATTTTTATCAGTTCTTAACGATTCAATTTTTTACAAGCTAATGCAAGATGTTTATGAAGAGATAAGAAGGAGGGAGACAGATTACATTTTCTCACTAAATTACACTTGTAATGATGACACGGAAATTAATATAACTCACAATGCTACATGTCTCCCAATTAACCCCCAACTATCAACCCAACGCAATCAGGGCAGGCAAAAACTGGCCAGACTAACCGAATGGAAGTTAAAAGTACTTACCCAAAATATTTTGGAAGAGCTAGTAAAACGACAGCCAGCTATATACAATGAGAGGTACGAATCCCTTAAGTATTACAAAAATTTAATTAAAAGTGATAAAATCTATGAGCCATCAGATAAAAATAGCGAAAATCGGGATACTGAGTGTAAAAAGGACGGACTCAAAATTTTGGAACACGTTAACGATAAAAAACCTTCATTAGCTAATGACAATTCACCTGACGATAGTGTAGACCTGCCTTGTAATCTCAAATCTGATTGGGAGAATATTCATAACCTTAGCTCACAGATGTATGCACTTGAGAAAATAGTAAAAGATTCAAATAGTAGTTCCCATAACACAGATCAATTACTCTTACCTACTGTTAGAGAACTCAAATCTTTAAAAATGGCATTTGAAGATTATCGTAAACAAACGGACGCCAACCTGAAAAATTTGTACAATATTATTGTACATTTGATAAACAATCTTTCCGATACTTCTAAATACAACCTTGAATTGGATCGTGATCATAGCTTTTCTAATGCAAGAGATAAAGAAATTTTAATTTCGAATCCTATTTTAAATAACGACATGCTAATGGCCAATTGTCAAGGCCATTCAATTGATGAATCTAATGTCCCTGTTACCATGCACAAAAAAACTTTGGCGAAATTTGTGTCAGATATGTCTAGACGCCTCAAATCCATTGTATTAATAATTGATAAAGAGTTACCTATCGAAACGTCATGCGAATATAACTACGAAACTATCGAGAGTTTCCTAGATCGGTTAAATAATGATGCTAACGAAATAAGTGCCACTCTTCAAACGGTTACGATCGAACATTACCATTCCTTTTTAGAAGAATTGAATCTCCTATCTAAGAATCGAGAGGATTTAGATTCACTAAATAATAGCCCCTCTCAAAGCGTAAAACTAGGTCTCTCACTAGCTGAACGTTTTTCTATTTTATGGAAAAACTTGATGATTGCTACCATAAATTTGAAAACAAATATAATTGAGTTTAGTAATTATATGAATAAAAGTATCAACCAAAATGAACAATCTGATTCAAAAATTATATCTACTGGCCAAGGTGGACCTGCAGAAAATCCTAAGTCTTTGACTCAAAATATTGGCATGGACAGCGATTCAGAGAAACAACCTAAAAGAGACGAAGTATTAGACAGAAGTCAAATTTTGGAATCAATATATGAACTTGCTCAAATATTTAAAGAATTACATTTCCATTTTTTGTCATAATTTGATTTTAGTTAATATCACAATGTGCCAAATACTTTTTATAATTTATTTTTATTTATACATTTTTTATAAATATTTTTAGCTTTATATAAAATAATTATATTTTTTTTATTAAATAAGAAATATTATTTACAGACTATTGTATATTTTATTTTTGTCATTTAATTGTATAAAACAAAAAATAATATTTAGAGTTTTTATCATCTTTTTTTAAATTTTGTTAACAGAAAAAAAAACATTGCTAAAAAATATAAATTTTTATCACTTCAAAAATTGAAGTTTTCTTTTTATTCTGAATTATTTTTTTATACATGAAAATTACAAAAGATTTACTTGTGAAAGATTTTGGCATTTTAAGTAAAATTGGATAAAAATCTTCAAATATTTTTGCAAAAAAACATTTTTTTCAAAACTCTGAAAAAATAGAGAAAATTTTAAAACAGTGAAATATGCCACTTTGCGTTTTATTCGTATATCATTTAATCTAATCAATATTTGATGTTTAAATCATCGCTATTTCTAAAAAAAATTATTTAGTTTGAGAATTAATTTCTTCATGTGAACGATCGTTTCATATCTATCTGTCAACGGAAACATATCTATTGGAACAACACGGTCTATCGTAAATCGAAGGCCTGGTAATCTTTTGCTAGATTGTCGAGTTAGGTCGTTAAGATTTTTCAGGGCGCCATTTAATTGGTTCGAACGGGCTAATTTATCGTTATTTCCACCTATAGAAGTTAAAGGTTATTTAATAAAAAAAGGAATATTTAAAGTGCAAAATATATCTATGGATCTGGCAATTGATATTCAATAAATGATATACAGTAGAAACTTGTAGGCCATTTCTAAGTATAACTTTTTTTCAAAGCGGTTTTTGGGTAATGTTACCATCAAAAAAAGCTAACTTTTCGAATTGTTAATATTATTTTTTTTGATAGTAGTAATAAAGGGAATAATTATCAAAAAAAAAATTTTTTTTTATATAATATGATAATTAAAAAAACAATCCGGATCACTATATTTTTAATCGTAAATAGAAAACAAACTGGCTTGATTTTAATAACGATTAAATGGCCTCACAAGTTAGTATCCTTTGTTTAGAAATAAAAAAAAATTAAACGATTTGAAAAAACGTTCTGTCAGGAAATGGCTTTATAGTTAACGAGCTCAAGTAGTATGTTTGTTTTAACGAATATTCACTATATCTAATTTATATTAAGCATCAGTTTATTTATTATTGAAAGGGTGTTTAGTATAGGGGTAAAAAATTTTTTGACTAATATACGCAATAGTCAATATATTAAAATTGCAATAAAAAATATGCGTTAAAAGTTAACCCCCAAAATATAAAATCTAGGGCTATACCGATATTAAAATGAGCAATTTATAAATGGGTATAATTTAGAATTGGCAGATAATTTTTATAAACATCTTGGAATATTGAAATAAAATCAAAACTTGATATAAAACAAAATTATTATAAGAGGGCGTCAAAATTGGCCGGTCCAAAAAAATTTCTGAATCAATTAAAAAACGATCCAACACCTAGGCTCATTTTAATGGTAGATGCTAACTCTCCCATAAAATATTTTTGTTTGAAAAATTATTTTAGTTATAATAAAATTCTAAGATGGTTATGCATTAGAAATTTACTGCCTACCTTGTGGCAATTTCCAGATATGCACATTAGTGATCTGCAGCGAGCCTAATTTTTCAAACCCGGCCTGGCCCGAAATTTTTTAAAAAAGTTTTGCTGGCCCGAACCCGAAATTTTTTTAAAAAAAATTTACCGGCCCGAATTTATTTAAATATAGAAATTAATTTTTATAATTACTCAAAATAAAAGTCATATGTTATATGGCATCTAGTTTCTATAAATAAAATCAAATGTTTTTATTTTACATAAAAATTCAACTTAAATTTATAAATTTAGATATATTTAAAAAAATTTCCAAGGCCCGTTTTTTCAAAAAATATTATATCCGAACCCGATTTTTTAAAAAAAATAAGCCCGGCCCGAACTACTTTTGCAGATCTATAATTCACATACCATATTTTAATATCGGCACAGCCCTGATAAAATCCCTATCAGTACAAATATGTTATTCGGGAAGTATTTATAACATACTTTGTTGAACTCTCAATTGTGAAAGATGTTGGCAATGAGTTATTTAAATTATTTATTGATATTTTGAATATCTAGTTTTACTACTTGAGGTCGATACCTTATAAATAAGATTTTTTTTAGCCTACATTAAGTTATGATAAAAAAAAAATCTACATTAAAAAGAAAGGCAAGAAGAAGGAAAGTTTTATTCCTATTTCTCTTTCCTTTTAATATAATTTTACTATATTAGGCTAAGTGAGTTTTAAAAAATAAATAAATTATATTAATCAGTTGAAAATTAAATAATGGAACGTTGAAAATTCATTTAACTATTTATATTTTCAATTTCCATCTGAAATAATAAAATAAACTCTAAATTATTTAAAATAACAAAATTTCACACATCTGGACTAAAAGTCTTAAAATAATAAAATTTAAAACAAAGTGGGCAAGGTCAAAAATTTTTGCTTTTAAAAATCCGACTGAGCTCGGAAATTTGTTTAAATTCTGGCTGGAATAAAAAAAAAGATTGATCTTTACAAGTCTGATATTTATAATAACGATTTTATAAATAAATAATTTTAGTATTATTAAATTACTGTTTTTTTTTAAATAAATAAAAATTTTAAGTGAAAAATAGACTAAAAATATTGAAAACTTGTATTAATTCATCCATTAACTAAAAGGCGACATTTAACTTATATGATATAGTTTTAAAAAAACGGTATTCAAACCTGATATATCACAAGAGATGTATATAAGTTGTTTCAAGCTATCCAAATTTCTTATAGAGTCTATCACTTTACGCCCTACTCCTTTTCTAGGCGGGTCTAATATTCCTATATACCTTTTATAGCTATTATCAGTTCCTTCCTTTTCTAAGATTAGAAGAAGAAAAAAATTGTATTTTAATAATATAAATGTTATATTTCCTTCCTACTGATTGTGGTGGGAAATATTTAATCCATTTTCATATCAAATTTTATAATAAATACAAAAAATCATTAAATTGACAAAGTTATTACTGTTATTTAAATTTAATACATATTAAGATAAAGAATAAAAGCAATATGAGATTGCTTATAAACTTTGTTAAAATTTGGATCGCAACAGGCTTTGTCTGAATCTAAAAAATTTTACCACCGGGCTATGGGTATCTTTCGCCGGCGGCAACGTAACATCTTAGAAAATATTTTGACAAGTAGAACAAAATCTAATATTTACCCTTTCATTATAATCGTCATAACTATTAATATAGTCCTTATATCAAGATCAAATATGTCTTATTGTATTGAATAAAATGACTGTGTTTAGAGGGTCATGGATATATTCATATAACCACACATATGAATCAATTAAATCAATATGAAATGCATTTCCATTTATAAATCGAGATATAAGACCAGAATGATGAGTAAAATTGGTCCTAATTAAAAAATAACGTTTATTCTACCTGTATTCAACGATAAATTCTCATCATTTGTAACATTAGAATTTGTAATCCCATATTTTGAAAGCATCGTTTTGTGTGATTTTATGGTCAAAATTGATGGTAATATTTCTTCTACAGGCCCGCAATGATATTCGGTATTCATTAAACCTAAATGTATTTTTATTTATTTTTTTAAATATTATCATAATAAGGTGTATGTGTAACGAAAAAACAGCAATATATTTAATTTTTGGGCACATTGAACGAAAGATGATCGGGGATGAGATATACATGCGGTCAAGGCCTTGAGTAAGATCCAGGACCGCAAAAAGTGGATTAGAGGAGTCAGAGCTTATCCGGGCAAACCTTGCAAGCCGCCATTAAACGATGAAGAAAAAAAAATAAAAATAAGGAGTTCATATAAATGCAAAATAAATTTAACATTTTGATAATATAATACCGTTGGTAAAAGCATTAGATACAGCATCTTGTATAGATGAGGCTGAAATGTCGATTCCAATAATATGAATGGATGATCCTAAATGCTATTTTAAAAGAAATCAGATGGTAGATTTTATAAATAACAATTTTTATTAATAGACATGGCAAATATTTTTAAAAAATTAAAACCCTTCCAATGAACATTTTACAATCGTTAACATCATATTATCCAGCAAAGATTTTTCGCTAACACTATAAAATACTAACACAAAGGATTAATTTTCGTATACTTGGCAATTATTTCATTAATCGTCATTGAATTAATAAATAATAGATATATCTCAGATTTTTTAAGATAATCGATATATGTTTATAAAACTAATAAATAAGAATAATATATATTTTTTAAAATTATTTTTTTTTATTAAATATCCATTTTATATATGTTAACTTAACATTCTTAAAAATTCAAATGACATTATTTTTTAAAATAAACCTTAGCCAGATATTGTCCTATAGTTCCGGTGCCGCAGCATAAATCTAATATCACCGTTTTTGAATTTTTTAAATCATCTTGGTTTCCCATTTTTATCATATCGATCAAGGTGTCTAACAAAGTTATGTATGCGGGTGTGTTGACTTTCAAACAAACAAAAAACAAATATTTAAAAATAATTTTATTTTGTAGCTTGGTAAAAAATAAAATTAGACTAAAGGCTGTGTCATGGTTCGATTTAATTTGGATACTTAATTGCTTTTTAGCATAGGCTAAAAATCTTTTGAACTAGGCCACCCTATTTTGGTTTGTTTTAAGTATTTGGTGGCATTGTTATTTTTCGTATCTTATCCTCGTTTTTTGGATGTTATTTTTTAATTTTTTTTCTTTCTTGGTTATTTAGTTGATGTAAATAGCCGGCTATTAAGTAATAAGTCGACCTAGGACACGGCTATATGACTTAAAAAATACACGTAAACAATTTTAAAATAATGCTAAATATAAATATAATAAAACATAAAAGACTTTTTTTATATATAACTAAACTAACAACAACACTTCCTCAGAGTAAAAACTTTAAATTGTAATTGTCAGAAATCAAGTCTAAATTCCAATTATCAATAATTTATCTGTGAAAAGTATAGTTGGGTAATTGCTTCTCTTTTATACTAAACTTAGTTTTTAGCTGTGAACTATCACTTTAGCTTTGAGTTTTTTTTTAGAAAATATAGCTCAACTACAAAAAAGGCATAAATAAATTAACTCGCACCTCAACAATTAGCGGATTTTCACCAGCATACATCTGTAGATTTATTAACTTATTGGTAGCCATTACCCAACTAGATTGAAAAAGTAGCAATTATACAGTAAAAATAATTCATTTTAGATATTTATGAGTGTTTGAATATTTTATTAATTAACTAACGACTTTTGAATAAAATATTCCTAATTTCAAAATTTTGAAGGGTTTTGGAAGCTATCCATAAATTAAATAAGCACTATTTTTTCAGAAACATCATTTTTATATTATATTCTTTCAAATTTTATAATTTAAAAAAATAATAAAACCTTGGAAAAATGAGGAAGGGGAGATATTGAATATCAACAATTCGCCCAATCTCTCTATTATGAACTCGCAACCGGATAAGTGAATCAAATCAAATGTCGTGTTAGGATTATAATCATCCTGGCGATATGACCTGCTAGATTCTAGCTTGAGGTAAAACGAGCAGATGTTGCCAAGATCTTTGCGATTATAATTCGTAACTAAATCTTCCTTCAACATATTTAGGTCATAATTCTGCAAAATTTTAAAGATAGTTAAGAAGGTCTATCAAATTGAAATTTGCCAATAGTAATATAAAATTGAAGAATAAATAATACACATTAGTATGAATAATTTATCTTATTCTTAAATATTCGTTTTTAGTAAATAAAACGATTAATTAAGAAGGCCACGATGTTTACGAAAATTTTCTGGAAATATTGATTTTGACTGATTTAAAATAAAACAAATTATTAGAGTAAATCAAAATAAAAAGTGAGACATCAATATATATAGGGCCGTAACTCAAACTTTTCGCTTAGAATGAAGGGGCACTTGAAGTCGCACCTTTAAAAAAGTTTATATTTCAATCTTATTCTTTCTGTTAGCTTGTTTCATGAGCTAATACTTTGTTTTCTTAAAATGGAATTCGCGAATAAGCAACTTAGAATATTAATTAGGTATTAATTAGTGTTTTAAACATTCGCTAGCAATATTTGGGGAAAAAGTAGCGCACTATTAGCTATTTTTCTAGAAAGTAGTTTTCCCTGCTTAAGGCTACGATATAACAAATATTTTTTTATTTATCTAATTTTATGTTCATAAAATTTGCATATCAAATTCAAACATGCAAAAATATTGATATAAAAATATGAAAAATATATGTATTATTTATTTTTTTGCATATTAATAATAAATCATCGCTCTATTATCACCTCCAAGTCAAGAGTGGGGATCAGAAAGTATAAGTTTTGCCTTACTAAATAATATATGAAAAATTATCAAAAATGTTCATTTTATATTAAAAAATGCTTCGACGATTTATTAGCTAATGTATTTTCGTTGGGCCTTAGATTGCAAAGTTATCAATAGCCTTTAGCTGCTCTTTCGGATTAAGATAATAAAGAACAGAACATATAAGATAATAAAGATCAGAACATATATTTTTACCTTCATGAGTCTCAAGAATCGGCTGTTGTGAGATCTAATATGAAAGACTTTTTCATTTTTTGAAAATTATCCAAAATTTTTACCATTCACCTCTATGAGCAGTATATCTTAGTATCAAATGAATGTAATCAGATTGATAAATAAGAGATTATCATCCAAGAAGCTGAATATCGATTATTATGACTTTATTAGCTAATTTTCTAACATCTGGTTCTGATGTTGTATTGTATGATTAAGCAAGGGCGTCACAAGTTTTATATAAAAGGGGGTACTAAAAAGGTGCTATTATTTTTTTGTACTGGACCAGCCCTTCGGTCGGGTGTATTTCCATATATTTATATCATCTACCATTACCCGTTAGCCAAAATATGATCCAACACAAATGTAGTTTAATTCAAATGTTACTTTCATAACCAATAAAATAAAACCCTCTATAACCCAATTCTAAAAGCTTTTATTTCACCAATTTATCAAGTTCATCTATTGATGATTTTCATACTAAAATATGAACGTCTATTGAATATAAACAATCTTAACAGCAAAAAAAATTAAAATTTTTTTCTTACAAAATAAAGTTTATCAGAAAACGTATATTTTATTCAGTATCATAAATTTTTATTAACAAGTTGATATATAATGCTTATTAATAAATAAATATAGAAATTTAGTATTACATTACATATATGACATTTTATTGTTGGTATAAAAATATATTGCAGATTGTTTCACTTTAGACTATGTCCTAAATATCAAAAATTGCATAAAAATAATCTCGCGCAATTTGCGCGAGTTTATCGAAAAAAAAAATATAAGCCATTTTAAATGGAAAATTAAAATGTTGGCCTAATGATTTTTTCGATTTTGCGCATATTACACGATTCTTACAAATTTTACGATTCGTAAAACTTTAATCTTTTTTTCTTTAAACTTTTGCAATTTGTGCGAATAAAAATGGCGAATGAATATCAATTGATGGAAAAAATAAAGCCTCATAGATTTCTTTGGTGTAATAGCGACCTCAAATATAGGGACACTGCAGCAAGTAAAATAAAATGGGAAGAGATAGGGAAGATATATGAGGCCGTGTCCTAAATCAAAAAAATAATTTCGCAAAAGTTTTGCGAAATGCACAACTTTAGCGAGTTTTGCGAGATACGAAACATGTCCCGAATCATACATTTATTTTCAATTTTAAAATGTTTGATATGCATGATTTACTATTTCTCTATTTTGTATTGTTTGAAGATACGACTGAGCTTAGAAGAAGGCATAGATTTTTATAAGGACGGTATATATGATATGATTTATATTATATGTATTAATTCTAGAGATCAAGAAATTTTTAGAACATTTGATAGTATTCCTTCATATCCTGACAAATTTCGTCAGATGTTCCATATGCATGTGGAAACATTTAATTACATTCTTACAAAATTGGAATCTATAGACACCACTATAGTTATACATAAAAACTCTATCAGTATGAAGCATAGACTATATATAACACTCATGTATGATGATTATTTTTTTATATAATATCTATATATTTATAGATATTTGACAACTGGTATGAGCTTTAGAAAAATAACTTTATATGCTAAGATTGGCAAAACATCAGTAAGTACAATAGTTACATCAACTTGTAGATTAATATGGATTGGTCTTCAACCCAAGCATCTCTGTTTACCAACAGTTGAACAGATGCTTGAAATTTCAGCAGAATATTTCAGGAAATCAGGTTTTCCTCATATAATAGGATCTATTGATGGAAAACATGTTAAAATAAAACAACCTAAAAAAAGTGGTTCCACATTTTATAATTATAAAAAATACAACTCCATTGTCATTCAAGTATTTCAGATGATTGAGCTAGGTAATTATATATTTTCTAGATTTTAATTCTTTTCTAGATTCATGTTGATTGAAGTTGGCTTTCCTGGGTCTATCTCAGATAGAAGTATCTTTTCAAAGAGCCTATTTTATGAAGGAATGATCAATAAAATCATCAAGATACCCAATCCAAATTTTTTACCATCTACAGATATTATAGCACTTTATGTATATGTATTTGTAGGTGATGATGCCTATCCTTTGATGGATTTTATTATGAAACCCTACAAAACTAATTTGAATGATAATAAATCAACTTTCAATACTAAATTATCAAAAGCCAAGTATCAATAGAGAGATGCTTTGGCATCATGAGTGCCAAATTCAGACACCTTTATAAACCATCAGAAACTAATATTACCAATACTATACAAATAGTAAAAGCTGACTGCTTATTGCATAATATTATAATAGATCTTGAGGGAAATCATAGCATAAATCATGAACAATACCCAATACTCAATTTTACCCAATCTCAGTTCCAGCGATGGACTGAAAGCTCTAATAATATTAGAGAAACTTTTAATTTATTTGTAAATAATTATATGTAAAATTTTTACACATTAATTTTTGATTCCCATAATCTTATATTTCTTAATTCCCATAACCTTATATCTCTTATGAATGTTTTAATTTGTCAAAGTTATATAATTTATTTATAAATATTCAATAAAAAGTGCAAATAAAAGTGTTTTTTTGATTACATATATAAGTAAGTTATTTCTAATTAATTTAATGAGTAAGACAGTTATAAAATGACTAAATTTCACATAACCTTATATTTCTTAATTTCCATAACCTTATATCTCTTATGAATGTTTTCATTTGTCAAAGTTATATAATTTATTTATAAATATTCAATAAAATGTGCAAATAGTTTTGATTACATTATATATTAATTAATTTAATGAGTAAGACAGTTATAAAATGACTAAATTTCAATAATTTTTATTATAAATAAATATACAAAATATGTTTAACATATTATGGTATTAAAAATTAAGATATAAAAATATATAAAATAATTTAAAAAATACAGTATAAACTATACAAACATTTTTGTTATAAATTTTAATTTAAAATCAAAAATTTCTTTTTCAGTCATAATATTAAATTGAGCTTGATATGATTTGAAAAAACCCATAATATTATGGGGATCATCTCCTTGGGATGTATATAATCACAGGTATTATAACATGAAATTAGATCTATATAATGAACTATATATTAGGATTACGAGTTAAATACACATGATCTTTTAACTGATATTGTTAATCCTATATATGTATGAGAAAGAAATTTTAGAGGTTAAATTAATATTATGTTTATATTATTAATTTAATTATAGTTAGACAATTCTTTTAATAAAGAAAATATTAATCCATTAGCTCAAAGAGGAAGAATTTAGATACTCCTAAATCTAAAGCTAAAAAATCTAAGAAGTATGAAGATGAAAAAATGGAGATATTTAGGGGTACATTTATATATTTAATAATTATTAATTTTTAAAATAGGTTTTGCTGCCAAACATACATCCCAAGGAGATGATCCCCATAATATTATGGGTTTTTTCAAATCATATCAAGCTCAATTTAATATTATGACTGAAAAAGAAATTTTTGATTTTAAATTAAAATTTATAACAAAAATGTTTGTATAGTTTATACTGTATTTTTTTAATTATTTTATACATATTTTATATATTTTTATATCTTAATTTTTAATACCATAATATGTTAAACATATTTTGTATATTTATTTATAATAAAAATTATTGAAATTTAGTCATTTTATAACTGTCTTACTCATTAAATTAATTAGAAATAACTTACTTATATAATGTAATCAAAACTATTTGCACTTTTTATTGAATATTTATAAATAAATTATATAACTTTGACAAATGAAAACATTCATAAGAGATATAAGGTTATGGAAATTAAGAAATATAAGGTTATGTGAAATTTAGTCATTTTATAACTGTCTTACTCATTAAATTAATTAGAAATAACTTACTTATATATTGTAATCAAAAAAACACTTTTATTTGCACTTTTTATTGAATATTTATAAATAAATTATATAACTTTGACAAATTAAAACATTCATAAGAGATATAAGGTTATGGGAATTAAGAAATATAAGATTATGGGAATCAAAAATTAATGTGTAAAAATTTTACATATAATTATTTA